GAACCAACCGCAGATGTGATGGTGAGAGATGGTTTTCCCAAAGATGCACACTATTCTTGATATTGTCATCTATATAATAAGATTCTATAACCATATGCGGATGTGTCAAATTTACTGACTCTTTCAGAAGACTTTGTTTTGTGGTTCAATTCTATCCCTCAACTTGACCTTTGCCCACAAGTATCTGAATTTCTGGTGCTTCCATATTTTTTAGGGATCGAGTAGAAACCTCAACATCGGTGGTATCTGCCATGATTCATGGCTGATAGTTCCATTGCTGTTTGAATCTCTTCTCTTGGCTAGGATGACTAGGGTGACTAGGGCTTCGGGTGAACCATTCAAAGATTGTGCGGCAGGTGAAAGGCCCAGTGGGCCCAGCCAGCAGCCAAGTGAAGTACCTGGGATGATGACGATAGGGCCGATGGGGTTAACGTTTGACAATGGGTGGTAACCTCCATGAGTGGGGCATGACCCCTATCACTATTGGTTATTTCATGGTTATTCCATGTTATTCCATCATACTCCATCATGTTTCAGCTGATTTCCCTGTGGAAAATTTTCTGGTTCTTGCTTCCAGTGTAACTTTGACATTGTTGACGAGAATCCGTGAAACTTGAGAAGTTCCGAACATCCACAGAGAATGCTTGTGTCGAACTCTTGCAACTTGACAATTCGGCATAGCTTCATAGTTCGAACTCAAGCGCCCGATTCTCTGAAACGCGCCCGACTCAAAAGCCTCCTTTCCACCCGTTGCAATGTGCTGCGGCAAGCGCCTTCGTTGTTCGGCTCGTCGAGGGCTGCAGCCTTCGTCATCGTCAGGGCAGTGGGACCGTCATTTGGAAAGATTGGGCTACTTGGACCCGTTGGTCACAGAAGGATTTCCAGCTTCCACAGAGCACCAGAAGTTGCTCCACCGTGTTTGCCAGGATGAATGCAAAAAGATCGTCAACAAGACCCTGAAGAACATCTACAAGATGACCCGTGATATCGCCAAGTTGAGGCGGAGATTCTGGGCTGCTGTGGGCGCTCATGCAGATGGAACGGCAGGAGCTGCACCTCCTGGCCGTTCCTAACCAAGGACGAAAGAAAAGGTCGAATGGCTGCAGGAATGTTGTGGGGAGTATAATGTGCTGCAGAACAGCAGCAGGGAACAAATGCTCAGTCCTGAGCCCCAAGCAGGTCCAAGCGGTCTCCCAGTTTGACACCAAAGCCAAGAAATTCTTGCTTGGCTTTGGTGTCAAACTGGGAGACCGCTTAAGGCGACGTCCGTGATGCGTACATTGAGCAGGACCCGCGGTTGCTTTGGGCCAAGCCAGGCCTTGACAAGTTCCAGCAGCAGCTGAACAAATTGAAGCAAAAGCCCAGAGAACGAGCCAGTGAGCTCGGACTTCCTGGAAAAGAACCCAGATCAGATGTCCACAAGGAAGGGATTCAGAAGGGATGGTTCCGGGAAGAGAAGGATCCTCAGGAAATGTCGACTTCTTTGGCCGAGATCGGGGACAGCACCTGTGAGAGCACCTTGCAAAACATGAAGAACAACAAAAAGCACTGCGCGGAACAAACGTGGAGAAATGTGCTGAACACATGTTTGCAGGAAAAAAACACGGCGCCACCAGAAAAACATCAATGGGACACTTGTAAGGGACGGGCATTGGTTTTCAGAAATTCTGCAAACAGGACGAGCAAGTGATGGGACCTTTCCAGCGATACCCCCTCTGAAGGTTATATCACCTACACAAGATAACCTCCCAATTTTGCCAATCAGGTTTGAACTTTGTGCTGCCTCCTGAAAGCGCCTCCTCTTGTAGCGTGCGTGCCACACCGCCCATTGTTTCCCCATGTGATCCCGCTGGTATCTCAGCTGTGGTCAACCACTCGCTGTCCAAAACAAAACATGTCTCATGTTGTTTGATCGTTTTCTGACATGTTTGTGTGTTTGATGGATGGTTGTCCAGGTTTAACTTTAATCAATGTATGTTTTGGGGAAGACACTGACAAACAAAAGCCCATTACAACCCACGAACTACCAATTGCCAACAATCGTAACCAATCACCATTGCCACTGGTCAATACCAATAATCACTACCAATGGCCATTACCAATATAATAATTTCAGGCAATGATTATACAATTATAAAGAATAACACGAATTAGTACTTGGTAATTAGAATAATGATATGCTGATATGTCAACCAGATATTTCAATGCCAACACTTCTTGTTATCATTCCAATGATATGTTTGATGGAAATATCATTCAGCATTCATTGTATGTTAACAATCATTTTGTTAATGTATGGTAATGTCAGTATATCGTGGTTAAAATTAATCCCAACCCCTCAATATTAACTAACCCCCCCAGAAACCATGGTTTAGTGCGGGATTTCCACGTGGGATACATATCACCAGCTTCACCTCAGGAAGGATGCGCCCTGGGCACAGCAATCCGTCGGGGACTCGGGGACCGGGATCGCCTTGTTGAACAGCGAGTCGTCGGACTGTCGGACGGAAAGTCGAGGTGTTGAATTTTGGGCAAAGCTATTAGTGTTCTTTGCATGTCTTTACATCCAGCATTTTTTTGCATGTCTATAGTTTTAGATATAGAGTTTTACTATCATGTTTTACTGATTTTTGCTATCAAGATAATTGTCAGATGTTGTCACTATCCAAGTGATGTAATGGGTTTCCTGTGATTTCCTGTGATCTGAAGCCAATCACCTTCAATCGCAATCAATCGCAAACCTCTCATTGATTATTTCACGAGCTTCCGATACTGTCCTGCACTTTATGTGAAGTCATGTCCGAAATATGCCTAAAATATCTTGGACCTGTTACTTTTACGTCAGAACAGCAGACCTTTGTATTTTTTTTGGGATGATTTTCAGACAGCAGAGGCTCCATAAATCTCCCAGGATTTCCCAGTCCGAGGTTGTAACACAAGCTCCAGAGCCAGTGAGGTCACAGTGAGGGCTCGAAATATGGAACTGGTACGGTCTGAAAAGGAAAGTCCTTCGTTATCTCCATGGAATATCATCCGAAGCAAGAGAAATGCCGCTAGATCTACCTGGAGAGTGGAATTGACGCAATTCTCGGTCACTGAGTCTGAGTCCCATCGTCTGACAGGGTATACCATCAACCGGATGTTTCAACAACGGGAAAGTGATGATTACCCTCCTGTAAAAGAACAGTTCCATGTGGAAATCCAACCATGAATCATGAATGTAGAATAATGTAGATCATTTTCCTAGAACAACCATGGGTTTTCCACATCTAGGGTAACCGCATGGAACGCTGGTTTTTCCCATGTTTTTTTCCCTTACAGGATGCAGCAGAGCAAGAGCAGCGGCGCTATTGAGATGCAGAAACACATGGCCAGGGAAGCCCTGTGGACGTGGGCCGTGACAAGAAATGCTTGGGGAAAAGGTGGGCAAAACATGATGAAAACTGAAAGCAGATCAGATATCTGAACTATTCTGAACTTCTGTTAGGTGAAGATACAGAATCACAGTAGTCATCATTCAGCAGGATTCTTCATTGGTCACTATCCTCGTTCTGACCAACGCATAAAATGCTGATTTTCCTCACCATGATCAGTTTTTTTTCACCATGCTGTGACCATCCATCACTTGCTCCGGCACCGTTTCGCTTGGTGCCTCCGGTTCCAACATGTTCCATGTCCAGCGAGGCCAGCACCAATGGTTTCCGGAAAGTTCGGGCAGGATGAGCCGCTGAGCCGCGGCTGCTGGTTTCACCTTAAATCTGCCGGTGAATCCGTGGCAAGAGTCAAATGGATGGTGACATATGGTGACTTGAAACCATGTTGTTTACCCTCTGGTTATGACTGTTACATAGCCATGGTTTTTCGATGGCCCATAGAAATAGATGGTATGCCGTTATTAACAAACTAATAGCATGGGTGGATCTTTCCATGGCTATGTAACAAATAACCAGATGGTAATTCCAGTGGAACTTGGAAGTTTCAGCCATTGGATGAACTCCCAGGATTTCATTTCTTTTAACAGGACCCACGTTGGCATCGTGCGAGGATGGTGAAGCATTCGGGCGACCCATGTTTCCTAACATAAATTATATCAGAGGCAATAGGCAATCAAAGTAACAAGCATCTGTTTTTTTGCGTTGATACTTTTGATGCGTCCTTGAATTTGAAACCAAAAATAAGCCGATAATATCATATAAAGCCACTATCTGCATACGATTTTCGCCAGGTCCGGCACAGTTTCACCACAGCTGGGTAAGGGTGAAATATGGTGACATGTGATTGGTTCAGTCCCGAGAGTCTCAGATTTTGGCCATGTTTGAACCAGGCCAGGGCAGGCTTTGCCACCACTGTGAGCCAAGCAGGTGCACGTGTCGGAATCAGGACAGCTGTTTTTGCCTGGGCCTGTCTCCAAAAGCATGGCGTTGCGTCGGCAGCTGGCAGCGTCGTAAGATCATCACCCCAATGGACTCTTTTCCTATGGACGAAACAGCCAGTGTTGGAGTGAATGTTCTTCCATTGGTTCCTAGATGTTCTTAGGAAGCTTATTGGGTGTGTGTCCCAAAATGGGCATCCTAAATGCCCTGCAGCATCGCAGCTGTTTGGGTTCTCATCGGGGATTCGTCAAAATATTACAAGATTGGAGACTCATTGAAACACACTTTTTGGTCATGTCATATATATATATATAAATAAATAATCATTTTTATGGTTTACCTGAGCCTATATTTTGACATCTCCATTTGCAGAACAGATGGAAGTGTAAGGCAAGGGGAAAATTGAAAGCAAAGGCAAAGATAGCGAAGCCTATCCTTGGATGGTAAAACATTGCCATTGGGGTTGAAAGGGCCACTGGAGATCTAGAAAATATGCGGCAGTCTAAATAGGTAAAACATGGTAAACCTATCATTAACCACTGGATTTCAGGGGGTTATAAAAAGGACCAACCTTATTTGTTGTGTTTTGATCAGGATGTCGTTGGCTTTGCATCCCACAAACCTGCCATGGCGCAAGTGATTCGACCACTACAGGCGTCCGCGGATATCTCGCAGTTTTCATGGGACACACGACCCCATTTCTTGATGATGATGATGATGATGAGGATTAGGATGAAGATGAGATCATGACCCCCACTATTGAGCACTTCCCAGTGCCCAACTTTCTCACCACAGGTGGACCCTCAGCCGCGTTACGCGACCCCTGTGCGCTATGCCACCCCCAGCCGTTCCGCCTGCCGCCATGCCACCCCTGGACGGGTGAGTCCCCAGCTGCCGATGCCGTGTGGTTGGGCCGGGTGGGCACCGCCGCCACCGCCACTGCAACCTGGATGGGTGGCGGTGCCAGTGGCCTACAGCTGCTTGGCTCGTGGGAGGTGTGGGGATGTGGGCGCTTCTTAAAACGGAGGATCCCCAAAACCATAGGTTTCAATAGTGAAATGGTCCAATTTTGAATGATTTGGGGCTACCCCCATTCATGTTTTTGACAGTGGTAAAAGGAATTGCTCCGTGGGTCATGGATTCTGTTGATTTACTTGAAGATTTTGACCTGAATGCCAGAGCATTGTGTTTCCCATCGGTCCTTTTTGGCTTTTTGTTGCAGTGTTCTTTATTCACAGGCTGAGGCCCAACATTTGCGCGATTGATGCTACATATGTTGAACGTCAGTGGGTTGGGAGTTGGGAGGCTTAAATGTTCATCCATGTCCATATTATGTTCCAGATCCATCTGTTTGGGATTGGGCCATGGACATCCACAACTACCTGCTATTTTTCTGGGTCTGGGCTCCAGCACTCGCGCTCTCCGTCGCTTGATTTCTGCAGGGGCTCATATTTTGATAGGCTTGGAAAGAGGCTAATTATAGAATATGCTGAAGTTATACCCAGCCCCAATTAGGGTCAAATACCACATAGAGTTCGGTTGTTACATTGTACTACAAGCTACTGTAGTTATAGCTACGGGCAAAATGGACACCAAACATCCCCTGCGGACCCTTAGGCCAAGTGCAGCCGCAAGTGCAAAGTCCGGCAGAGTTGGCAGTTGGGGTCACCGTGCGCATTGGCAGCGTCCAGTGCTTCTTGCCTGAAGTGTCCAGACATATCGACAATGAAGAATACCCAGAACTTGAAAATCCATGGGCAAAATGATTTGATACACCAATATACACCACTAGATTTTGGGATGCCATCTTTTTGGAAGCACTTGAATGGGTCGTGGGTCTGAGTCAAATGATTGCAGCATGTCAAAGCTCAAAAGCCAAGGAAACACCCTTTAGTTATTGTGTTTTAGTGTGAACCCTTGAATCCACAGATGTTGGTCAGTTTCTTTAAATTGATTGTTGGCCCCATTGTTGGCCCTTCATTTTGGGTTCTCCAGATCACGATGAAAAAACAAGTGGATGTCGGGTGTGCTATCAGGTTGGAAAGTCTGAAGCCAATTGGTGTTTGGGGCGTGCAACGTTCACAGCACGTTTGTGATGTTCTGCGTACCAGGTCAATACATTACCAGCAGCATGGGAGCAGGATTGAAATGATTGGATGTGCATTCCACTTGCAAATTGGAAAGTAAACACATGCAGAAACTATTTGAAGACTCATGACTCATGAATAACTGACGGTAGCAATATCCCATCTGTCCAGGAAACTTACAGTGGCCTCACAATGACCTCACAAGGACCTCACAACGACCTCTCTGCCTGACCTCACAATAGGTGATGAATGAAGTTTTGATTCAAAAGGGAAACCGTCAGATTTCAGCTTAGTTTATCTCATGTCCACTTGGCCAAATAGCCCAGATAAGGTAAACCTTCCGCTTTGAGAATCAATATTTGCCAATAGTTTCTATACAGTCCATGTAATAGTAGTAGTAATAATAATAACAATAAGATAATAACAGCAATTTATAATAGTTATAAGCTACAATATTAATAATAATGATAATGATAATTTCAATATATATATATATTATGATTATATATGAGCCACCGCAAAAAAAAACGGCAATACTAAATATGTATTGGACGGACATTGGTTCATGGAAATTGACGGAAATTGTTAAAAACACACGGTAAGCGATGGGACCTTCCCAAATTAGCGATACCCCTTTTCAAGGTTATGTCATTGTATTTCTCTAATATCCACATTAGCGATACTTAAATTGGACGTCGATGTCTGTGCATGCAGCAGTTTCCTGCAAGCGGTGCCCCCCAAGTTTACCATATATCATTATTGTACAAACGTGTGGTAAGCAATGGGACCTTCCCAAATTTGTGGATGCCCTTTCCGTTACCCTACGGTTTTCGAGATTGCTCATATATATATATATATTGTAATTACATATATATATTGTAATTATATATATATAATCACCACCCTTTTCGTGGGGTGTAAGCATGGGGGACGTTCAAAAAATGTAAGCAACATTTTTGACCCCTTCTTGTTTTTGTCCCGATGGGGAAGGCTATATGTATGTATGTTAGACCTCCCCAGGTCAAAAACCGAGCCCCGGAAGATTTACATTTGGAAGGGGGGTCGAAAGTCCGTAATAGATACGTCAACCCCCCCCCCCGGTTCCCCCTCTACGGATAGGAGGGGGGAGGTAAAAATTGTTAAATGTCCTTTGTAAACTGTTTGTGAGGTGTCTTTGTGGGGATGTAATCAACCTATGTCTGAGGTCCATAGTTCCTTGCAGAAAGTACTCGAAAAAGAAGGTAAAACACCAGCCTACACCTGAGGCCTACAATTCCTGATGGTAAATCATGATTTAAGATTAGCAAACTTGAAGCCTCGCACAAAATGTTTAGGAGCAACATGTGCTCGATGAGCAAGAGACGGTGCGCAAGAGGCGATGAGAAAAACGGTAGGTCGCTCTTTGCAAATCAACGAACTGCTTTGGTAGTTTTTTGCAAGTGTTTTTGAGCTTTAGTTGAACATAGCTAAGCTAAGCTAAGCTGTGGATTTTTATTTGGCAAATTCCTTGCAATGTTCTTTGCTGTGTGGAAAAGGGGCTTCGCGCCCAATGAAATGTGGATGACGAGATAATTCTGTTGGGCCGATAGAATCCCGGACCGCAATGATATGGGTTTTGGTAGGGGTCAAAATTATGGGCGCCAAACCCTTTCGTAAATCGTTTACTATTGTCATGTGGTTGGCTGATTGGTCCACAGCAAGTTGGTCTGCTAGGCGGGGAAAACCCTAGTCCGCACCTAGAACAAAAAACGCCGAGAAGATGCTGTGGCTAGCAGGTCAAAGTCTGTGCGCCAAAAATGGCTTAGGAACAAAGGAAGCATTACGACGTGGTTGCCAAGAATCTCTTGAAGTTTTGGGCCCCAAACAGTTTTGGCCATTCTCAGTTTCTGAAGAGGGCGGCTGTAAATCGGTTCTGTCGACGCTTAAAACCAGGATCTCTAGCGTTAGTTCAACAGCTGCCAGTTCCCAGCCTTCAGGATGCTGCCAGAAGTGTTGAGTTGGAGGATCAGACGTGCTTTGGCCTGTGATTCAACGCCCGCCCAGTTAGAGGTGTGCAGACAAGTTTGTTTTGATGGGCAGGCGGGGAAAACCATAAAGTGAAAACGGCGCCAGAAGCAAAGGCCCAATGACCAGAGCTGAGGCTGATCTGGACTGCGAGCAGGCCAAGTCCTGGAGCTGTTTTTTTCTGATGAAAGATTGCTTGGCGGCTCAGAGGGAGCTGTTTTTTCATGGCCTGCTCCGAGGTCGGAAGTCGGCCGTGTCCAGTGATTCGCGCTGAAGTGCGAATGAGTTGAAAAACAAGTTGTGTTCCAGTGCTGCTGTTTGGCTTCGCACAAGTTCTACAAAATCTTGAACTATAAAGCACATTTGGTTTGTCCCACCGTTCATAGTGCAGTATCTCACTGCTTTGCTTGTCGGCAGTGTGCTGGAATGCCAAGCGCTTGGAACTGACAGTTCTCAGGGCAGCAAGAACCACCAACCACATGAGAAGCGCAACATGACAATGCATAGGTGGCCAGAAGCAAGCAGCCACCTGTTGAACAACGCCACGGGAGCTAAGCTGGGCATTAGGATCATTAGGCCATGGGGAGGAGCAAGCGTGGCGGAGTGAAGGAAAAGGAAAAGGAGGAGAAAAAACAGCAGAGCCTGGCGGCTCTGAACGCAAGTCCAAAGGCAATGCCTAGTGGAAAGGTTGTGCACACCCCTGACCGGATCAAAGAAGTGCTGCGATGCGGGTGTGGTGCCCTTGACCTGCGGGTCATATTGTCGCGGCTTTTGGCTTGAATTCAGGGGTTGGGTGGCCTGAAATGAAGCTGTGGGGTCGATTTTGCAATCCGCTAACCAACTACCATCGCTTAAATTATGTGTATATCCCAGAGAATTGAACAGCATTTCATGTAAGTTCGCCAGAAGCGCCAGGTAGTCGAAAACACAGGCCATTTGGTAGTCACGTGGGCCGGGTAGTTCCCACCAAGGAGGCGACAACAGTTCCTACTTCGCGTGCTTGAGCCCTTCATGCGGCAAATCCTGCTCCCCAGCTGATGCGGGCAGGTCGCAAGGGAAGACCTGTTTGGGTTACACGGGGTTTGTTTTCAAATTTGGTTATGGCCGGAGCTGTGCTTTTCCATCAAAAAGACAAGGGCGCGATCGTTTCGACCAACCTTTCAGTTCTTAGGGATCCATCCATCGTATGTCACCATCTGCGTGTGCAGTCATATCTGCGTGCCAAAACATCTTCAGCAAAGCATAGCCTCTTGCTGCAATTTATGTTTATGCTTGAGGCTGGCCAGATGGCACTGAGTTGCGGGCCGGCCTTGCGGGCCAGCACGCAAGAGAAGCGGCTCGCAGCAGATCTAGGAGCCTTTGGTCGTCAAAAGAGCTGTGTCCAGCAAAGCTACGTTTGCAAGTGGTTCGTGTCGGCTAGTTGCAGAAGTGGAAATGGGATCTGAGTGAGCCCTTGCCAGGACCCGGTGAGGCACACACGTACTTTGGATGATCTGACCATCACTGGTTGACCTTGTCCAGTGGCACGTTTTGGGACAGATTGAGAGACATGACAATTTCATGCCTTTCTACTGGCTTATGAGCGGCTCGTGTGCAGGACGCAATTTGGGGCTTTGTCGAGCAACAGGCCAGTGGATGCTGCCACAACATTATGCCGTTCATTTTGAATAGTTGAACTCCACGGAGGTAAATTTGAAGACCTTCAACAACTCATTTTACATTTTTTTGAAGTTCAAGGATTTTCCAGCAATTTGCAAGGAATAATATACCTTCTATACCTCTATGTTACATGTAGAAATTGTAAAAAAGGAGCAGAATAAGTGTAGAATGTATTGGAAATACCAAGCAATTTGGGTCCTACACACTTTTAATTTTCATTTTTGATTTTCTGCAATTCTGCAGCTATTTGCAGACCTTCACTATAATTTTACATTTGTTTTTTTTAATTTTCTTGCATGTTTTTTTTCAGAAATGCATTCTTACATTTTGAACGCCCCATTTTCTAAGAAAATAATTAAATCCCGTAAAGAATGAGGGGACCTACTAAAATGAAATTTTGCAAATAGAACGTAGTTAGAAAAATAAATGCTTGCTGACATTTACCAGGCCCCCCTCCCTCAAAAAACGTCTAAATTGTGTCTAGCAATTTGGGTACGTCCCCCCCCTTAAAAGGGTAGTGATTATATATATATATATACACACACATATTATAGCTTTGCCTGAAATGGGCACCCTGAAGTCTCATGGTTTACAAATGGTATTAATGAACTATTTACCATATTACTCTATCTCATACTGCCATGGTGGTAACTCATTTATGCCCCAACGTATACATGTGGATAGATTAATAGCCACGCCCTGAGATGTTCAGCAATTTGGGAATGTGCTGGGCTTTACCATATGTAAAGCTCAGGAACAGCTTTGTAGCAGGGGGTCAACAAACCACCATCTATACATACATACATACAGACAGACATACATACAGACAGACAGATAGACAGACAGACAGACATATATATATATATACTAAGTAAATATACTGTATATATATATACACACAGATAGATAGTGATAGATAATGAATGAGATTGATATATACCACACAAAAACATACATGTACATATATATATTCATATATATATACATAAATGTAAACATGTATACAATTACTTTAATAGTAAAAATGCACATTATATAACCGAGTGAACCAACTATGGCTATTGTTCACATCATGTTAACCCAAGGTGTGATTTCGGAGCCCCTGGGCATGGGATCGTTCGGTGTGGTCTGGGCGGCACGCTGCGATGGCAAGTCCAAGGTGCGGATTCGGCGGAGGGTTCAAATCAAAGGGGTCGGATCGTAGACTGTAGTACCATGTAGTACCCCTGAAAAGGTACACCATTTGTGGGAGTGTTTAGTAACAGTAGACATGGTCTAACATCCTTTTGGTTCCACTTGATTGTACAACACTAAATATACTACTATCCCTCTGGTAATTTAACATATAGCTATTGAAACTCACCATGTTTAGTAGGTATATCAACATGTGTGAACTCTGAATGGCCATTTTCAATAGCTATGTTAGTTTGCCATAGTTTGCCAGAGGGTAGTATGTATATATCCCACACATCCCAAGTCGGGGACTGATTCCCCCAAGGAGGTGGCCGTAAAAGAGATGATTTGCAGCAACCAGACGGAGCTCCACCGCGCGGAGAGCGGGGCCGGATGGCTGGAGGGTCGTTGGTTCAGTTTCTTTAAAGAACATAAACGACATAAACATGGGGTCATATTGGATCAACAATTATCAAATGTTTTCAAGTTATGGGTTGATTGGGTCAGATTGGGTCAAGCAAAAATCTAAGTCCTGGATTGGTCTAAGGGAACATCTGAACTGAAACCATTGTTTTTTCCGATCAAATATGGCAGGTTCCTAACGATTTTTCCCTTAAACCAATCCAATGATCACTGGGTCATATTGATATTGGGTCAATGAATGTCAATGATGTTCAAATTAAGGTGAGAATTTACGATAATTTACGATCATGTTTGCCGGGGTTTAGGGATGATTTGCACATTCAACAGCTATTAATACAACAAAAAGGAGATCTGAGAATAATATACACAATTCGATGGTACCCAATTTGGCTCCAATCGCCATGGCAACGTGAGTAGTTTGCCACTTCGAAGAAGCTCCGCTTCCACACTCTGATCTCACGTAGGTATCTTATGCTGTTCCATTTTTTTTGGATGGGGGTAGCGGAAAACTGGTACCTACAGTCGCGCATCCTCACTGGGATCTTCATCGTGCGTTCCCGAATTTTCACCACATGAAACGACATCAGATCCTGGGAAGCGTTGACCCATGGGTTGACCCGTCTCAGGCATCATCCCAATTAGCTTCGGCTCCAAACTCTTCCGTAACATGGCATGATGGCCATGAAAATCCTCCAATTTGCAGATCACGTTGGCCTTGAAAAAAAATATAGCGGATAATGGATATTAGTGGCTTGTCCATTGCCACGTTTGATTACCTGAGGGTATCCTTTAATTATTAGTTCAATGTTAACACCACGTTGGCTCGACAAAGTGCCTGTCAGGAGTACGAGATCAGCCTCCTGAAGACGTCACTTGGGTCTGGGTGAATTCCACTTCCTCGTCGTCAAAGATGGCTGGAACATTCTCCCATTGAGTTGGATCATGTTCCCATACCATCCCATACCCAGATGCTCCTTGTAAGGTTTTTTTTACCTACAAAACTGGGTGATCAATTCCGGGCAAATGTTGAATTTACCTTCCAGCACCATGGAGCATCTGGGATAGAGAAAGATATTAAAGCCTCCATTTATCCAGCATTTATTGGGGGATTTCAACATTTTTGAACCCGCAGGGTCAACACATGTCAACCAGACGTCGGATGAGATTCCAACGGCGTCCTAAAAACCGCGCCGGATGCAGCTGTTTTAGGCAGGACATGACATGCAATGACCATGAACGTGGCTGTGCTAGCCCCGCCGTTGGAAAAAAAATATGCATGGATATGCCCAAAAAAGGTACCGTAAACAAATTGTTTTTTTTATAGTTTCCTTATTTATGATAATACTGATCCCACTGGCATATCCATTATCATAATCATATGATTATATTTACAACATTGTATAACGGATAATTATAAGGTACCCTACTTAATTATTACATCCCATAATTATGTTAGTTACATCCCAGAATTCTCGTGGGATCATCGTTAGCTGACCTCGCTCCGTCGCCATGGAAGCTGCCACACCGAGCCTCCTCTGTGCTTTGACGGCGCTGGGACTGCGCTTGGCGGATGGTCGCTTCACTGTTGCAGGCGCCATCAATCCATGGAATCTATGGCTCATGCGAGGAAACCACCTTTTTTTTATTGTAAAAACAAGTAACAACCATGGTTTCCTGTAAATGTTTGCATGAACCACCCGTAAATTTCCATGGGTTTCTCGATTTGCTCAAGGTGATTTGTTACGAGAAAGCCACTGAGTTGTATTTCAGGAATCTATCCCACAGGATCCATGTATGCTATATATGGTGACATTTACCATCAATATACCTAAAATGTTAGCATATATACCATACATGGATCCTATGGGTATGGGGATTGTGTTTTTTTTTGCTTTTTTATTGCCACAGCATCATAGTCAGCGAGAAAATTCGAGGATCATCCCTGTTGGATCACGGCAGCAGCCACTGGGCCACTGGGAAACATCGATTTAAATTGATGCCAGTAGATTGATGAGATACTTGGTGAAACTTGTGGAAAATATTGGAAACTTGTTGACTTCACATTTGTGGACACTTGGCAGACTTGGATAGACTTGGTACAGCCGCAGGCAAGGCTATGCTGGGGGCGCTGCCCCTCTTTTTGATGCAGATGACCCTTGGACAGAGAATGGCTGTCAGGCTCGAAAGCGTGTCAGACTGTTGACCATTGTTGACCTATGACCCTGCGGCCCAAGGGTCAGTCAGATATCAGAGAGGAAAACCCATCAGATGTTCTGTCAGAAAACCATCAATAGATGGTGTATTTGCTACCAAGAGAGGAAAACATAGAGAGAGGGAGAGAGAGAGTAAAGGCATTTTGTTTGGTCGCATGAACTTTGATGTTTTGGTGGTCTTGCGTTTGGACGTAGTGAACCAATTACCATGGGCCTTGTAGTTTTTGTTCATAGCATAGATTCTTTAATCCTTATTTTCATTGGTGAAATCACCATGTTGGTTGGTTCAGGTTCAGGTCCCATTCCCAGGATTTGTTGGTAAAGCAGTAAAACATGAAACAATCCAAATTTTGTTGCTGGCCTCAGATTTGGGCTCAATTTGGTTTTCAGTCAAATCTAATCATATCTAATCATATAATATATATAATACTAATACATAATAGTCAATAATAATACTATATAATACTAACCTTTTTAAGGTGAAGACTTCCCCAAATTTGACCCCCAGACCAGCCAGCCGACCCTTTCGGCACCGAGGTTGGGTCGTTTGCGTCAAGCGGCAGAGGCGAAAAAGAAGCACCCGGGCACTGCGGAGCAAAGGGCCATGTGTTTGAACCCGGTGATCGACAAACAGGACTGGGTCAATGGTCACTAGAAATTTGCAATCCTAGAATCATATACATATATATATATATACACACGTATATATCATGATAATATATATATATAGAGAGAGATAGATAGATAGATAGATAGATAGATAGAGAGATAGATAGATAGATAGATACATAGAAATTATATGAATATGTGATTTCAGGGACAATCCACAAGGGCTTGTGCATGCCGCAGCGGACCTTTGCGGCTGGAGCGCCCGCACATCAGGAAAAGTGCCGCTGTTGCTGCCCCAGGTGGGGCGACGCTACTTTGTCATTGGTAGCGGAGCCCCACCTGGGGCACCGTGCTGATGGCTGAAGACCGCTCGCTGAAAAGATTCAGCGGAGAAACGGAAGATCCTGGGAAGGATCTGAAAAAATGGAAAGCATGGGCTCAGGCGAAGCTCATGACACTAGAAAAGCTGACAGAGAAACAGAGAGGCCCATGGCTTTTCACCCTGTTAGATGCTGCAGCATACGAAGCCGTCGAGCACTTCACCCTGGACGAGATTGCTGTCCAAGGAGGTGATGACAAGATCTGGCAGGCCTTGCAATCCAGATTTCCCGAGAAGGAGAAGCATGACCAAATGGGTGAAGTGTTAGGTGAAGTTTTCAGTTTAGCTGCAATGGATGGGGAAACAAGCAAACAGTGGACAGCCCGAGTCAAAGAGACCTTTGAACGTTGTCGCAGGAAAGCCGAAACAGACTTTCCATCCAGTGCACGAGGATGGATCACTCTGAACTGTGCTGGCCTCTCAGAGCAGGAGAAGGCGATCATCAAGGCGAAGACCCAAGGAAGTTTGCAGTTCGATGACGTGTCTGCAGCCTTCAGGTCGTGTTTCCCGGCCTTTAAGGCCACTAGTTCCAAAGCGAGGAAGCCAATCGGAGCTCTCCAGGTTGATGCTGAAGAATCCAATGTCGCTGGGGATCACGAAACTCTCCCTGAAGACAGAGATGCTTTTGGAGATGTAGAAGCCTTCTTGGCCGACTATGCCACGGAAGCCTATCCGACCGAGATCTCTGAAGAAGATGCTGCCGAAGCGCTAGCTGTAGCATGGAAGGATCGTCGCCAAGAAATCCAGAAACACCACCAGTCTAGGAAGTTTGGAAGCCAGAATTCCAAAACCTCACATCGATCCTTTCGGATCGAGGTGGAAGAGCTGAAGCGCCGAACAAAATGCAGGAAGTGCGGAAAAGTAGGTCACTGGGCCAGGGAGTGCCGGAGCAACACAACTATGCCTCCCAAGGATCCTAGTGCTAGCTCTTCAAAACCTGCTGCCTCAGTGGACTTGGTGGAATGTGCCTCGCCTCCTGATGACGAGATCTCCTTCGTCGGTCAGGTGATCTCAGTGTGTGCCGCTGGACTTGTCTCCTCACCAGGTTGGGGGGTCATAGATACTGGATGTGGCCGCACCCTCATTGGGTCACAAACATTGGATGAACTGAATCAGAAGTTGATCGCCCTTGGAAAGTCGCCTGCCAAGGAGTATGCTGCCATCAATCGGTTCAGATTTGGAAATGGGCAGGAAGAAACATCAGAACGTGCAGTTCGTATTCCAGTAGCCATCAGTGGGACATCAGGTCTCATCGATGCTGCAGTGATCTCTGGCCAAGCACCTTTGCTGCTGGGAAGACCGACACTGGAGAAGCTGCATGTGCAATTAGATTTCAGATCTGCCTCCATGAAGCTGCTCAAGCCCGAGATTGATGCCAGCATGGTCACCAATGATGCTGGCCAACTGCTCGTGAACATCCTTGATTTCAAGCAGAAGGTCGATCAGCAGAAGCATGACCAGCCGTCAGCCGGAGCCAATGACCAGGAGTCCAGGGTGGGGGATAAAATGAGCCAGTTGAATAGTAAGCAAATGGGCCAGTCATCTAATAAGCGTAAGAAGATAACCCTTAAGCAGAAGGAATGTAGATGCCTGTTAGCCCAAATGAGGTCAGCTGAGAACACCAAGCAGTCCCAGTTTCAAGTTGCCGAACTCTTTTCACCTCCGAGGTTTAGTCTGGAAGTTGAGAAGCATGGGGGTAAGGGGTTGGCATTTGACATCAAGCAAGGTTGGGATCTTTTGAATCCTAAAACCCAAGAACAGGTAGACCGGTTGCTGGACAAAGCCTGTCCTGAGTTGTTGGTAGTGTGCCCAACGTGCACTCACTCTGGGGGATGGGAAAACCTGAATCAGTATTACCGCACGCCGTTAGAGAGAGCCCAACTGATCAGGAGAAATCGGGCGCGCCTCCGATTCTGTGTGAAGCAAATTCATAAGCAAGTTCAGCGGGGTGGTGCATTCATGTTGGAACATCCATGGCCGTCTAGCATTTGGAAATCACCTGAACTGCAATCCCTGAAAAGAAGATATGGTGTTTTCAGAGTAGACATGTGTGCCTTCGGACTAGCATGTCCTGACACCCAGCTGCCGATCCAGAAGGCAACAGGCCTCATGGTATCCGAGTCCAAAGTTCCAGAATCTTTGGAAGCTGTGTGTCGATGTCCGGGTCACCATAGCCATAGGGTTGTTGCCGGTCAGCTTCGCAGTGGTCAAAGCGTAAGTGATTTTGTAGCTCAGTACACTCCTAAGTTTGTCAAGTCCATGTTGAATGCTTTTGGGGTTAGTAGCCACCGTCACGATGTTCATGAAGTCACATGTGAAGACCACTTTGCATGCCTAGCTGCCGAAGAGGAATCCGACGCCCCACAGGGGAATGCGCCGGCTGCCGAGGGATCCGAAGCCAAGATCAAACAAGCCTTGGCCAAGTTGCATCGCAATCTAGGCCATCCGTCCACTAGCGATTTCACCCGGATCCTGCGCCATAGCCGTGCCTCTGACAAGGCAATTGAGCTTGCCAGCAAATTGCAGTGCACAGTTTGCATGAACCATCAACAGCCCAAGAGTGCTCTTCCTGCCAATGTTCCTCATTCCATGGAGTTTAATGAGCATGTTGGTTTGGATGTGAAGTATCTAAGGGGTTGGAAAGTGAACCATAAGATTCCATGTGTTAACTTGGTTGATTACGGCACTTCACTTCAAGTCATGGTTCCACTGCCACAGCGAGAAACCTCAGTTCTCTTGAAGAATGCCTTGCGTGATAAGTGGATAGCTTGGGCTGGGGTTCCAAAGAATCTCACCACAGACCCTGCGCAACCTAACACTGGTGAAGTTTTTGCTGAATACTGTGAAAATTCGGGAATTAGCTTACACCAGACTGCCGCTGATGCACACTGGCAGCTTGGTAAAGTAGAAAGGCATGGCCAATGGTTCTCTCGAATTTTGGATCGAGTTTGCGACGAAGTGAGGCCCTCATCTGAAGAAGAGTGGTTGGATTGTTTGATCCAAGCACAAGCCGCCAAAAACAGCCTGATTTCACAGTCCGGTTGCAGTCCCAATCAGCTAGTTTTTGGTCGTAATCCAAGAATTCCTGAAGACCTGATGCAAGATGAGCCACACGTTGTTGCCTCGGATGCAGTCGAGATGTCAGAGCCTTTTGGTCGAAGTCATATGATCCGTCAGGCAGCCCGCCGTTCTGTGCTGGCATGTCAGGATGATCGTGCTCTCCGAGTAGCTTTGCGTGCTAGACCAAGGGTTGAGCGGGACTTCAAATCTGGAGATTGGGTACACTATTGGCGGTCCCAAAAATGGCAGTCCGGGGTTTTGGAACTTGGGGGAAAATGGCATGGTACAGCTTTGATTCTAGGTAGAATTGGAAGAAACTTTGTCATAGCTCACCGCCGCAGTTTGCTGAGATGTGCCCCTGAACAGTTGCGCCATGCATCTTCTGAAGAGAAGTCCGTAGCAGAATTCCCTGAAAGTGAACTGTTGGGCATCAAGAACTTGTTGGAGAAAGGACAATTTCCCAAAAGCCAATTCACCGATATAGTAGGTCAGTCAATGCCACCAGAGCCAGAACAACTGGAGCAGCCCATCCGACAGCCAGTAGCTGCTGTTCCAGCTGGAGCCCAGTCTGCTGCCGAAATGTTTCAACAGCAGCAGACAACTGTTTCTGAGTCATTGCCGCCTGCTCCAAACAGTGGACCTTCGGCACCCGCCGAGGGGGAAAGTGATCCTGCTCCTGAGGTATCCAGTAGTTCTTTATACGGCCCAGTACGTAGAAGGTACTCCTCAAAGCAAGCTCAGGATGTGTTGTTCAGACCCCCTGAAATGAAACATGAAGATTTCCTTGAGATGATGCAGGAGATCGTTCCTCAGATTGTGGTGCCAGATGCCGCAGTGGCTTCGCCGGACCAAGTGATGCAATCTTCTAGCCCAAGAGGAACCAGCCAGAAACGAGAAGCCAGCACCGAGGGTGATGTTCCTGCCCCATCTAGGCCTAAAACTGAGCATGAGTCATCCGAAGGGTTGTTTTCCGAAGAGGTTCTCCTGGCATGTTCTGAGGGCATTCCCACTGCAGAAGTTTTGATGTCAGCCTTTTTGCAGAAGCGCCTCCAGAAGGAATTGCCTCCTTCTGGCAACTCACCAGAACTTCAATCCAAGATTGATGAAGCCAAGCGCACGGAGTGGTCAACCCTGAGTGACAAACCAGCCGTCAAGGTGTGGACTGGAGCAAAGGCCAAAATGTTGCGTGAGAAGTATCCACAGAGATTCATAGGCAGCCGTTTTGTCATCACTGAGAAAACCGAAGATCAAGACACCAGAATCAAAGCTAGGTGGTGCCTTCAAGGACACCTAGACCCTGATTTCAAGGAAAAGATTGACAATGGCCTCTGCCACAGTCCAACACTTAGTCAGTTGGCACGTGCGTTAGTGCTTCAGGTGTTGAGCTCCAAGAAATGGACCATGTGCCTGGGCGACATCAAAGGTGCCTTCCTGCAGGCCGGACCTCTCCAGGCCAAGTACAGACCGCTGTTTGCACGTCACCCAGCCGGTGGCATTCCAGGTCTTGATGACTCGGATGTCATCGAAGTTGTGGGAAATGTCTATGGCGCCAACGATGCCCCCTTGAATTGGTATCAGACCTTTCACCAAGCAGTTACTGAGATTGGCTATGAACGAAGTCAGTTTGACAACTGTTTGTACTTCTTGAGGGATAAGAACAACAACAATGAGCTGTGTTCTATCTTGGGAGCACACGTGGACGATACCATCATAGGAGGCCACGGTCCAGTTCATGAGAAAGCTGTTGCCCAGCTCCGCAGTAGGTTCACATACCGAAAATGGAGGATTGGCCACGGAGAATTTTGTGGAGTGCATTACTCCCAAGATCCTTCCAACTTTGAGATTGTTTACAATCAAAGTGAGTATGCCAGGCACCTGAGGCCAATCAACCTGTCTCGCGAACGAGCACGCCAGAAGCAGTCACCAGCAACTGAAAAAGAGATAGCATCCCTGCGTGCTATCAACGGAGCAGCAAATTGGTTGGCAAGTCAGAGTAGACCTGACCTCAGTGTTCAGACCTCCATAAGTCAGCAGTGTTTTCCCAAGCCGTTGGTTCAGGATCTGGTGTATGCCAATCAACTTGTGCATCGGGCCAAACAATACAGCCATGTTTCCGTGACCGTGCGTAGCATCCCATGGGATCAGCTTGGAATATGTTTTCACTCTGATGCAGGCTTTGCAAATGCAAAAGGTAATGCCACTCAAGCAGGATATATTCTGGGTTTTGTTGACGCAAATCTTGAATCCAACCTCCCGAGTAAATGGTCCCCTTTTTGTTGGAAGTCTTACAAGCTGCCCAGGGTTGTTTCTTCAACACTAGGTGCTGAGGCTCAGAGCTTTTCTACAGCATGTGCCATAGCGGAATGGATGTCACTTATGGTCGTTGAAGCCAAGAAAGGTGCTTTTGATTTGCGATCGGTTCGGGACATGCCCAAAACACCGATTGTGTCCAACCTTGCGCCAAAAGATGAGAATATCACCGGAATCACAGACTGCAAATCATTATACGACCATCTTACATCCATGTCCAGTGTTTCCAAGGTTGAAGACAAACGGGTGGCAATCGACCTAGCCATCTTAAAGCAGTGCATGACTCGCACTGGTTTGTCAGTGCGATGGTGTCCGACAGAACTGATGGTGGCGGACGGATTAACAAAAGATCAGATGGATCCTGCAGACCTTTTGCGTGCTGCCTTGGAAGTAGGAGAATACCAGTTGAACCAAGAAGCAACGGTCTTGGCAATCAAGAAACAGCAGCGAGAAGAGCGAAAGAAACGACAAACTCAAGCCAATAAGACCGCAGAGCCAAATAATTAAATAGGACTGAATGTGGGAGTAGATAATCACTGCGGGGATAAGTGGGGATAAACGTATTATGTATGGGAATAATCGTCACACCATTCCTGCCTTGCGTACATTGTCAGACAGTGTAGCAGTGCCTCCTTCATGTTCATCCCTGTTTTGCATGTTGTGACACCACGTAGCCCTTTTCATACTCCTCAAAACTGTGCAAGCCTCAATTAAGAGGAACGCCTGGTGAACCAGTGTTAGGAACGGTTTAGAAGCCTTGCGAAATGTCCATGTCCAAGAGCGCTGCGTCTGATCAAATGAAGACCCAGGCCTTGGAATTTCTTCGTGATCTGCAGCGCAGTGGAATGCTGGAGAGCATGGTTTCCTCAGTCCAACAGGAAGCCGCACAGATGCCAATCGGAGCCATGACAGACGGCGCCAAACGCCGTTGTCCTGAGAGCTCCAACATCTATGAGGAGGAAGAGTTCCAACATGTGGCATCATCCAAAGAAGTGCCTCCGTCATATCCTGGTTCTGAGATTCACCCACCTATGTTTCATATGGAGACCTACAAGAGCGGCCACTCGTCCAAGGTCTCTTTGCCAGTTGGGGTGGATTCACTAGAAGAATGGGGCCGCACCGTTTGCGAGTTGCCGAAAGTCAAGGAGATGTCTTGCAGCTACCATGAGCTGAACCTTCAGGCCGAGAAAGGAGATGTTCAGATGTCAAAGTATCTGTCTTGGATCCGCACCTACAAGGGCCCATCTTCTCGAACCGTGGACTTCAAGAACTATCTTCTAGCATGTGACTCCTGCGCATCTGAACCGAAGACCTATTTTCCTGGCACCATGGAAGTTCGACGCTTGAAGTAGAAAGTACTCAAGCAGAAGCCTGTGCAACCTGGAGGGAAGCACTTTTTGGGCTTGAAATATAACATAGAAATTTAGAGGAGTGTGATTTCAGGGACAATCCACAAGGGCTTGTGCATGCCGCAGCGGACCTTTGCGGCTGGAGCGCCCGCACATCAGGAAAAGTGCCGCTGTTGCTGCCCCAGGTGGGGCGACGCTACTTTGTCAAATATATGGCCTTTTGCCGGATTAGAACGACCTCATGCTGGTGAATCCTGATGCTCACCATGAGCTTGGGATGGATTTTGACTGGCTCTGGGTCAAGTCAAACTAGCGTACTTGTTGGGTCCCTCGCAAAAGAGGATCCCTGCAAAAGGCCATGGTCATTTTGTTTCGAAAGCTTCCATTCTTGCAGATTGTTGTGCCCCATTCGCAGATAAAGATACACTAGTCATGTGGTCGCATACACCATCCCGAACGACTTAGCGGAAACGGGCTCTAAGAAAACCATCGCTAGTGGAGGTTTACATAATAAACAACTAAAAAGAATTTCAAAATGACAAACTCTTCACCAGGCATCCTATCCCAGTGACTAGAGAGTCAAAAAGACGCTTGCACCTGAACGGATGCCCAAATATCCCAAAATATGGTTTCTCTTTCTGACACTTTCTTGTGGTCTATGACATTTCACAACCGTATGAGGGGTCATCCAAAAACTGGGTCTAAGGTGTTTTTTCCCACAATACAATGCCATGTATAAAGCCGCATTTTTTTTCTGTAGCCATTGAACTGCCTCCAACAAATCAAGCCTGTCCAACTGCTGGTTGAAGGGATGATAAATGATAAACTAAGATAAGCTATGTAAACTCATCAGATTCATCAGATATAAAAATGGGAAAGAACAAACATGAAAAAAACATCAACATCTCGAAGTATGTCTTTCCCAGCAAAATCCATAAACAGATGTTCTCGTTCCCAGGACTTTGAGGAAAGGTTCATCGGCACTGCTGACCTTGAGTTCCTTGGTTTACTTGGTTTTTCGTCGATGGGAGAATATGGGATAATGAAGGGAACATGGATGAGAAGATATGGGATACTATGGGATCATCGTCTACAAGTACCCTCTGGTTATGTCAAAATAGCTATTGAAAATCACAATTTTCAATGGGAAAATTCACTAGAAATGGTGATTTTCCATAGTTATGTTAAATTACCAGAGGGAACATGTTGATTTGAGGGTGCAATTGTTGGACCACTTGGTTGGGATATTTTTTTGTATTTTTTTTTTACCCCACTTACAGGTAATTGTCAGTGGAATTGCCCCCCCAACCCCTCCCCCCATTTCTGTGACACCCCGAAGGATAGATGATTCAGAACTGTTAAGAAATATTAGAAAAGGATAGACGAGAGTGACAGTTGGTGGTCAATAAGCCTTCATAAATATTGATATTATATTGATATACCCTCTGGTAAACTAACATAGCAATGGAAAATCACCATTTTTAATGGGAAAATCCACTATAAATGGCCATTTTCAATAGCTATGTTAGTTCACCAGAGGGTAGCCTTCATCAACCCATACGTTTGTTCTTTTTTGGGTCATTTGTTTTTTGCGGGGGGACTGGTTGAATCATGGCGAATCCTGAAGATCATAAGATCAAGGTTTTGGCGAGGTCAAATGCAGGGTATTGATGTGTATCCGATGACGGATCCATGGTGCTGGTATATAACATGACTGGGGTATATTGATGGTAAATGTGACCATATAGCAGCACCATGGATCCTATGTGTATTGACATGATGTACAAACATATTAGCCATGTGAATCAATGTGATGGAAAAACGTACGTCAGGGACCAGCCAAGAAACTGCATAGCCATAAAAGATGACCAAATTAGATAGAAGTGTCCTTCAATTCATTGGGAGAAGTTGCATTTCCCACATAGTCATCTCTAAGAAACCGCACGAAGTCCTGCCGAAAGTTTATGATCGGGATTGGGCAACAGTCCTGGGATTCGGGCACTTCAACATCGAAAAAGAGCCATCGATGCAGCCTGCAACTGTCGAGGTAGCCAACAAAATCCAGGCAGTTCCAACCAAGAAGTGGTACATTAATTCCATCCTGTCTAATAATTCTTTGATACCCCCCGAAAACGCTGGTGTAGTATTGGATCTATTCAAGTATAGGGGTCCAAAATGTTGGAGGTATTGGATATGACAATGGATGTAGGATGTGATTCGAACCAACATCATAGGCCCATAGTCCATAGTTACGACCTCCAAGAATGACGTGAAAATGTTGCAACTGACCGAATCCCTCACCGAATATGTCACCGAATAGGGTTACAAAACCCTCTGACTTCATATCAGTATTGGAAACCCTGTCCGACCGCTGGCGCTGGCAGTTCACTTTCAAGTCTTTTGTCGATATCAGACATCCAATATGTCTGTGTCGAAGCCTAATTTTAGTCTCTGTGATGACCTTCACAGAGCCTTGGGCTCAAATTTTTCCCTCTTTCGATATGGGCGCAAGCCGTCTTAGCTGGGCAACGCTCAGCTCGAACCCGAGCAGCGTGTGGAATGAAGAATGACGTGAATCGAAGAAAACACCGGCGTATGTTTCCCATGTTTCTGTATGGATTTAAGTAGCCCAAACGAGAGATAGGCAAGTAAAATCCGATTAGCATTTAATGGTAAATTGAACCTTTCCTATCTTTTTGGGACTAATTACTACATAGCCACGGAACCTTGAATTTCTCCTGTATTTCTCAAATAAAAGTGGTTTTTAGCCACTCCAAAAATAGCTAGAAACATCTCATTTACCCTTATTGTTCAACCCTTTTTCCTACATCTTTAGACGTATATTGTCCATCCAATTCCATGGTTTTCCATGTGTTTTCCCACGGTTTCCACGTTTTGTTTCATGTTTTTCATAAGTTTTCCCACGTCTTTCCCATGTTACTGTTTCTCAAAAGTTTTTCCTATGTTTTGCCCGGTGTTTCCCACGTTTTTCATCAGTTTCCCCTGCGTTTTGCCACCAGTCTCCCAGGTTTTTCCACGTTTTTTCCCACGTTTTTTTTTTGGCCCCGGCAGGTCCGGAGACTTCGACTACATCGTGGTGGGCGCCGGCAGCGCGGGCTGCCCCCTGGCCGCGCGGCTGGCGAAGAGCGGCGCCTCGGTGCTGCTGCTGGAGGCGGGCGGTGAAGCACATCGCAGCAGGGAAGTGCAGATGCCGAAGAGGAGACTTGGTGGCAGAAATCAGGAATAGTGGTTACCCTCTGGTAAACTAACATAGCTATGGAAAATCACCATTTTTAATGGGTAAATCAACTATAAATGGCAATTTTCAATAGCTATGTTAAATTACCAGAGGGTAATGAATGTTAATTAACTATGGTTCATAGATGTTCATAGTTAACTATTACTAATAGTGGTTCATACTAATAGTGGTTGATACTTAATAGTAGTTTTGCACAATAGTGCAGAATATCCCGACAATATCCCCATCATATTCCCATGATCTTCCCGTTGTTGGTTAAATCCCATTAATGTGGTATAATAGTGATTAATTCATAGTGGTTTAATAGTTAATAGATAATAATAGTGGTTAATACTAGTAGTTAATAATAAATAATAGTGGTTGATAGTGGGGCAGATTTGTTCCAACTTTTCGTGTTATTACCCTCTTGTGTAAACTAGCAGTTTGCTATTGAACATTGATGAACATTGCCCATTGATAGTGGATTTACCAATTGAAATGGTGATTTTCCATGGTATATGGCTATGGATCTATACCTATCAATACTATTTTGTTAGGGGTATGAACATACATTTAAAAGCTATGTTGATGTTCACCAGTGGTTTAGGGTTTTGAGTCATTACCATATATTACTAATCAATCTAATCAACATTTCAGGACACAGTACGGGCATATATATATATTTATTTGTGGAATCTATGTGGATATATGGAAATGCGTCAAAATGTTGCATAAAATTATAAAACAAACATGTTAATTATAGCATATAGTTTAGTAGTGGTATATTATATGTTATAGATTATTAGTGTTAAACATACCATAGTTCTATAATAGTGATGACACTTTGGCATAACATAACCAATGATAACAGTGATATATAGTGATTCTATCAATAATTAACTCTCACAACTAATGGTTGATTTTGAGAATCAAATATATATTATATGTATTAATTGTATATTAAACGTTTTTAGTTGTCTATTGCTAGTGAACTCAACTATTGATAATTTTTACTTAATATTACTAGTCATTACTATATTAATAGTGATTTATAGTGATTTATAGTGATTAATTGTGATTCATAGTGATTAATATTGATCACTAATAGTCAATTCGTACTACTAATAAACCTAATAACTGTTAGTGATGATTATTATTATCATTATCATTATGATTATATGTATATATCGTAACAGTTATGTATAATAGCGGTACAATAGTATAGTGTGGAAGCCATTAGTTGTAAGAATAGTATATAATAGTTATATTAGTTTAATTAGTTACAACCCAATAGTAAACTATTGGTAATCGTACTGCAGAATTGTAACTAGCTTGGTTGGTTATGGTCGATGAGGGTGGACATGATGAGAAAATGGACAAGTACCTGTTTGTAGATCATGAATTCTGTGGATTCATGAGACTTCATGGGCTGGATGGGGATGGGTTAGATATCGAATGATATGGAAACGCATTTTTGCATGGAATGGAGATGGCAAGACGGGAATCAAACCCCATACTTAGATAGTGGGACTCAGAGTGGTGTTGTGAATGGAACCCATCTTGGAGAAAACATGCTGGGAGAAAACATGTTGGAAAATAATTCCAAATAGCACTGACGATCATGCCAAGATAGACCAGCATGGTCAACAGATAATCCCACAGATATCAGTTATTTCAATGTGAAGACCAGGCTTTTGATCCAATCCCATATGCAGTAGGATGGATTTCCTACAAAATTACCCTCCTGCACACTAACACAGACGTGCAAAACCCACCATGAATGTAGATAATGTTCCCAAAAAGGCTTTCCCCATCGTTTTTTCATATGTTTTTGTATGCTTACCCTAGGGGCCCTAAAATGTTCCCTGAAATTTAGCCCTTACTTGTACATAGTCCTTACATATGATAGGTACCTCCAACCAATCGGTTCCTGAAATGGCCATTGAAAGGTGTAGCCGGTGGAGGCCTTATTTATAAGTGGCGTTACAATATTGTTTATAACCCAATGAACTATATGATATATATGATAATCTATATATATATATATAATATATATTACACTAAATAATTATACATATACATATATATATATATATGTAGTTATATTCTCCATAAACCCAAACGTTAACCTTGCGTGAACCGTGCGTCACCTTAGCTATTTTGTGCGCTGAGGATGTATGGACTGTGGCAATCCGAGGTGTCGCCTTTATCTGTCGCCGTTCGACGGACGATGGGAAATGGCACATTTATCGATGGCTTACTGGTTTAATAGTGGTTTAATAGTGGTTTAATATGGTTTAATACTAATATTAATAGTGGTTTAATAGTGGTTTAATATGGTTTAATACTAATATTAATAGTGGTTTAATAGTGGTTAATAGTGGTGAATGACCACAACAATATATGACTGGTTGATGGTTTCAAACATGGCTTTTATTTTCCATGATATATATGGGATGTCATCCTAACCCCATTGACGAACTCATATTTTTTCAGAGGGGTTGAAACCACCAACCAGCTTATAGATGAGTTTTGGTGATTTATAAGCTATCTATGAACCATAAAAATATATATGACAGATTTATAATTAAATACATCATCTATAGATGACTCTTTATGAATGATTTATAGTTAAATAACCAGAGAGGGCAACATATAGAAACCGAAAATTGCAAACATCAAAGAAACTTATATGATTTTACCAACCCAATTTTGCGGCTCCATGTGTCATTTAGGGAGTGAACTATTATTTTTTGCCAACGACAAATAGTAACCGAGGACAGAAGATCTGATGTCATTGATTCAACACAATAAGTCGAAAAGCGGAGACTATTAGTGGGTCTATTTGGTCATGCGTTCATCCAACCCCACCACCCAACAAACATTGAACATGTTGACGTACACATTCACACTATCATCAAGATTCATGGGTCATTTTGAATAAGTTTGACAAGTAGAAACAACAAATGTTTCAGTTTTTTTTCTGAACTTCATGCTTACTGTTCCACTCTAATCCGGATAGTTTGACATGCAAAAAAATCGAAGGCAGGAAACAGACCATCTCTTTGGATGTTTCCCAAGTCATGGGGGTAATTACCCCCCAGTTCTCAATCCAGTTCTCATCCATATTTTAAGTTCATGGATTTTCCATGAAATAAACATAATAAACCATCCATTTAAGGTACCCCCATGGCCCCATGGCCCATGACTATGGAACCCAGATATAGTGTGGGGCCAGGCTCCGAGGCTCCCGTCCCTTTTTTCGCTCCAGGTGGATTGGGGTTTCCGCTCCGTGCCTCAAGAGCATTTGCTGCCCCGGGGCCGTGTCATCGATTTGGAGCGCGGCAAAACCTTGGGGGGCAGCAGCGCCATCAACTACAACATGCGCCTGGGCAACGTGCTGATATGAGCTATGGTCAATACTCATGGTTAATATATAACCATTAATAGGGGCTAGTCATCCAATGGTTCATAGGGATTTAGAATAACCATAGGATCCTTATTATGGATGGGATGACCATCAACCATATAGTGAGTATTGACCATGGCTCATATCACTCTGAATGAATTTCATGACCTCACGTCGTTTTACTATGTTTTACTGGAATGATGGTGAATATTTTTGGGGAATCATCCCCGATTAGGCCCAACAGTGAAGCTATTTTCAGATCAGTGAATTACTATTCAGCCAGGAATCAATCTAATCTATATATAGACATATATATATATATATATGACATACCACAATCATACCCAAACATATATTGGTTGACAGAAGACATTCATTGAATCTTTAAAATTGCAGTTAATGAATAATAATCCCCGAGTGTTGTTGGCAAAACCACATCAACTCTGGCTTCTCTATAGCAGCCTCACAAGCCTATCTCAAACCTAAACAAATGGTAGGTTTCGGGGGAATCATACCAAGAATTGCTTATCTACCGCTTAAGATTGAACATTCCGTCCAGAAACTGTGTAAAGGTTGGTGAATGGTATTGTTTTCTACTGAGTTGATGAGAAATCAAGTCATACCCAGCTGAACAGGCAACCTTTATATAATCATGTTTCAGGGTTTGCACGCTTCACCACGTTAATAAAAAGAGATGCACACATGCATCAACACGGGGATGCATCATGATGTATCAAATATATATATATACATACATATACATATATATATAATCACACTGGAGCTCATGCAATGGCCCGTCATCCACGTCATGTTTTTTCCAACAGCCATATGTTTCCCAATCGTTTGTGCGACCTGTTTAAGTTGGATCCCCAGAATCCTGCGGCGCGAAATATCTCACAGATGTCATCACCAAAGATATCCAAAAGCCTGGCCGAGGCGGCCTATAAATACATCACAATTTTCTAGAAAATGCCAAAGATCATAAGTTGGTTGGTGCTTTGGAAACTTTGGAACATGATTTTGTTTTATGAATTTCCAGATGGGAATGTCATCATCCCAACTGACGAACTCATGATTTCCCCATCGATTTCACCCGCCAGGTGGGTCCGCGGTGCACCGGAGGACTACGATCGCTGGGCCGAGGAGTTTGGCTGCAGTGGCTGGAGCGCCTTGGTTTTTTGGGGTCAGTGGTTGGGTAAAAAACATGGAGGTTTCCATATGGTTTCCATCAAGGGGGGTACCCCAATAGCTGGTTGATTTATTTCGTGGAAAATCCTATTAAACTGGATTTGGGGGTACCCCAATTTTAGGAACCTCCCCATTTAGCATCGGGGAAACCTCGGAAAAAAACACATGTGGGACATTGTGGGAATCTAATTAATTAATGATGCTCAAAACATAGTTGATTGGGGATCCCCAGTAGTTAAAGGAAGGGTTGATGAACGACACGGGTTACATCGTTTTGCCTCGAATGATGCTTGAGGTTCATCCCATTCACGACTGGGTACCATGGTATGCTGAATCAGTTGCATTCGGTTTCATGCGATTTTTATGGGATTTCATAGGATTTCATGGTAATCCCAAAAAGATGCCGAAACGTGTTTTTGAGGATGTGAAAGTTCGATGTTTCCTCCGTTCACAGGTTTCCAACTTTATTTTTTTCGCATCTGTTTGGGGTCGCTATACTACATACTTGGGATAAACGTGCACGTAGTCGCGTAGTTAAGGGGCAAAGGAGGGTATACCTTCTGGTAAAATCGGGTGGTTTCGCGAGAAAACAAGTGACGCATCATGCATTGGAATTACTGTCAGATTGACAACGGAATGATTCGAATAGTGGATTTCTAACCCACCATCACCAGGTGAATCACCAGCTCTTTCTTTCTTCGGACCAAAAAAAAACTGCAGATTTCTGTGTTCCATCTTCCTTGGACACATGTTTCTTCATTTTTCAACTGCAACCCTTGCCCCATTCACAGCCTGCCTGCAAATGGCATCAGGTTACAAAGAGGTCCTGCCACACTTCAAATCCATAGATCTTCGGCAGAACTTGGGCATGCGAGACTTGCTCGGGGGCCACAAACCCAGTTCGTTTGTTAAGTTGGTGCGTTACTAGGAGAACGAAGTAGGGGTAACGGTAGACATAAGATGACATAAGCAGACATAATGTGGGGGGTCAAAGAAACCAGCAAACTTTTATCTCATGAGAGGTGATTTTCTAGCTAAAGCTGAATCATAGCCACAAGATGCCACAAGAATCTCTAAACTTCTCCTTTGACCTCTTGGATTTTCCCCAGTTTAAAACGGCTGCGACGGAAGCTGCTGCCGGCCAGGAATCCCTGGAGGGCTACGATCAGCGCTATCGAGGTGACTCGGGCCCTGTGAAGGTGGCTCAAACATTTCCACCCATGGAGGAAGTGCAGGACTTCATGAGGCGCGGGTGGTCTCTTGGTCCCTAGAGATGTCAATGAGTTTTAGGAGAAATGAGAGCTATAATTGCTATAACGAAAGTTTCAAGATGATAATTAAATGTGAACATAGACATCAGCTATTTTTTGGAAGGGGATGCTCTGAGATTCATGAAATTTCATGAACATATGGGTTTCTGCAGGAAATTGAGGTTGTTTTCAAGACTTGGAACCTCATCCGATAGTTTGAATGCTAGTTTCCCAAAAAATAGATGACCTGACCTTACATGGCATGATTCCTAAACTTGAGATTAGGGGTGTGTCCAGATAGGGTACACACAAAAATCAAACTTGACTGGTCATCAAAAAATCGGACGATTGTATTTCGGTGTATATACCGCACTGGACAAAGCCATATAAAGCGTTATGAAGTGCTCAAGACCCTTACTCTTGTCCCAGATTTGGATGTTTGAAGAAAAAATGCAGGAAGCTCAGAAGCTCTACAAACAAAACATGGGGTTTGTGTTTTCAAATTGGGTACCCCATTCCATCCTCTGGAGTTTCTCATTCTTTTTCACCAGTTTCCCCTATAAAAGATGCGTTTTTTTTGGCGTTTCGATTGCTCTCAGGGCCTGCGAAGCCACTGGGGCCGAGCGCAACCCTGACTACAACGCCGCCAAGCTGCCGGGCGCAGGTCGACCAAAATGGGCTGGGCTTTTTTTGTCACAAAAAACATGGCATGAAATCGGAAAGTATGGGAGTTCCGGAACATCAACATTTTGAATTGGTGATTTTACGGCAAACCATGTTTGATTACTGAAGGCATCTGAAGGCGAACAGTTAGCTTAGCCTTAAACTCTGACTTGGATCATCATGGATCATCATACCATTAGCTAGTAGTCAAGTATCATCAAGTATCTCAGTTTTTGGGTTCATGTCTGATCCTGTTTCACTTTTTTATGGAGGACTCTAAATGGGTCGAACCATTCATGCTGATCCTGATATGTCCTTTCAATTCTTTTTCTGTGTGTGCGGAGTATGTAAGAGTGGCAACCCAGCAACTGTAAATGGTCATGACTGGAGCTTCCCCCAGCTCTGGTGATGAGGATGGCAAACCAATTACGCGAGACCAAAAATGGAGGAAACACCCTCAATCTCCGGGAATTTATAATATTTTCTAATATGAATTTAACATAGCTATGGAAAAAAAATGAAAAAAAAAGGTATGAAAAAGTCCCATTTCATCCCATGTGTAGATCATTTTCCCAAAATTGACGATTTTCCATAGTTAAATTACCAGAGGCAAGTGACAAAGTGTTGGAGAAATGGTTGATTGCAGCGGCCCTGGCCATCCCTGGTGGCCAGCCATGCCATGTGGAAGATCCGGGGGCTGGTTTGCTTCCCGCAGATGCAAGGGATACCCTCTGGTTATTTAACATAGCCATGGGAAATGGCCCATTTATAGATTGTTTACCTATTATGGTGATTTTCCATGGCTATGTTGAAATAACCAGATGGTACATGATCCTTTTATGTCATGTTTTCATAGCCAGTTACGCATGTAAAGGATTGTAAATGGGGAGCATATACTGAGCATTTTGGGTAATGTGAGTAGACCCAACAATAAACTCCCAAATCACCACAATGGGTGCTATACACCATCACGAAATGGTAGGTTCATTACAGATTGAGTTTACCACATCCCAGTTTCGGACAAGCCCACATGGTAACCAAGCTATCCAAGCTATCTAGTCGCACCCTACGCAGGACTCACCCAGTTCAACACCGCACAAGGTGCTGGGACGGGGATGATAGAAGATGCATTTGCGCTTAACAATGTAAAATATATGTACTGTATATTATAAATACATATAATTGCGTATAATTGCATAATATATATTATATAATATGTTTACTGCATTATATATACACATATATAATATATACAGTGGTGTGTATATATATATACACTACACAAACCATTTTTACCATTTGGCAATCCGAAACAGCAATACGACAAGCCACCATTTGAAATACAAGACAAGATGCATCTACTAATTGAGGATTGTCCATTGTTGTGTTGGTCTGCCGGATAAAGTGATGTTCCCTTCAGTAGTCAAACATGGCCATTGAAAATCCATGAAAATCCCATATTTAAATATGATGTTCCCATTCAAATGCCCATGTACATTATCGTTGATTCCGGAATGGTTCACCTCGATCCATGAGATTATTGGAGGAGCTGGCCTGTTGCACCCTTGATCTGAAGAGGGTCAGCTTTCATCCAGCATTTGCTGGGCGTTGTAATGCTACCCCTTGAAAACCCATGTGTAGAAGTCCTCCAAATGAATTGAAAGGGTTTATGACTAGTGCAATTGTTGGCTTCATGGTAATGAAACAAGCAACATTCGATGGGGTATCAGAAAACAACAAACATAAAGGGGGCACCACCTTGTGTTTTTTCCACGTCGTGTGTTTTTTCCACGTCGTGTGGGCGTGTTTCTATTGCAATCGATCGGTATGTATCGTGATACATTGTTAATTTAGTATTGATGATTCTTCTAGAGTCAACTTTAGTCCTTGTCCAGAGCTGTAGTAACTGTAGTAATATCGACCCTTTCTTCAAAGGGTCGGGTCATAGAAATCCTGGCACATCAACTTTCGCTTGGTTCAAACCCTTGCAATTTTACATGAATAGGCTACTGTACAACAAATAACAACAAAAGCAACAAAAACAACAACAGCGACAACAACAACAAGAAGAACAGCAACACCAACAGCAACAGCAACAACAACAACAACAGCAACAACAGCAATAACAGCAACAACAGCAACAACAGCAACAGCAGCAACAGCAGCAACAGCAGCAACAACAGCAACAACAGAAACAGCAACAGCAACAGCAGCAACAGCACCAGCAACTGCAGCGGCACTAGCAGCAGAAACAACAGCAACAGCAACAACAGCAACAACCTCAACAACAGCAACAACAGCAGCAACAGCAGCAACAGCAGCAACAGCAGCAGCAACAACAGCAGCGACAGCAATAACAGCAGCAGCAACAACAACAACAACGGCAGCAATGGCAGCAACAACAACAAGAACAACAGCAACAGTAGCAGCAGTAGCAGCAGTAGCAGCAGCGACAGCAGCAGCAGCAGCAACAGCAGCAGCAACAACAGCAACAGCAGCAACAGCAGGAACAGCAGTAACAGCAGCAGCAACAGCAACAACAGCAGCAACCGCAGCAACGGCAGCAACAGCAACAGCCAACAGCAACACCAAGACCAACACCACGACCAACACCAAGACCAACGCCAAGACCAACGCCAAGACCAACACCAAGGGCAACAGCAACAACGACTACAACAATTTATTGTGTATATTTATTATATATTTTGTAGGGTGGGCCTGCGCCCCCCGGTGATAAGTCGGCTTATAATCCCCTTTAACTATAGTCATATCCCCCATAAACCCTAGTTGTTGGAGTTAAAAACCACCTTGGCAAACTATGACCTTTGAAATCTCTGATGACGTGCAGGTGGGCGTGAAGATTGTTTCTCCGCCTTCATCGAACCTCTGCTGAGGTGAGACGGGTCTGTAGACTTTTTGCTTCACTGGAGCGGCAAGGAAACAACGACAGGGTAGGTTGATAGGTTGATTTTGTTGCTAGAAACTGACAAAAATCAAAGTATTTAGGATCTCTGAGATGATTGAAGGGGCTACGGCTATTTGCAGGAAACCAGGGTTTTTGACAATCTACAATGGGTATGCTTATAGAGAATCCGGGGCCTTAAAATGTCAATCAAGTTCTGAATAAATTCCCCTATTTCAGCAGAGACTCAGGCATTAACCATGAGTTTAAGCCACCATTGCATTCGATTTTTGCAGCCTCCCATAAAATGTGCGGATAGATGCAAATAATTAGGGCATTTGGTTTCTGTGTCTCTCTCTCTGTTGCATTTCCTGCACATAATTCCCAACATGTTGTCTCTCCAGATGTTTCAAGCAAACTCCAGGACATGTAGACCCCCCGTGTACGCCCTCATCCTTAACCCCCAGCTCTTCCGGGGGCTGGGGCATGCTGCAGCTAGGTGGTATCCCAACCTGCGTGTGGCTTCAGAAACCTTTTGCCACAAGGTGGTCCTAGAGGAGTCGGAGGGTCAGGCGCCACTGGGCGAGGTGGCTTAGGCTATGCACGGCTTGGCGGCTTAGCCTGAGATAAACATATCAAATGATAGAAAATCCATGGTGAAATCTTGGAAATGATCTACACATTTTGGATTGTCCATGTTTGTTAGATGGTAAATGTTGAAACAATGATGACATATGGAGGAACACCTTCAATATACTCAGCTGGGCAACGCGTGAAAAAAAATATCTGGCAGGGCATTTACTGTAAAGTCTAAGGATTAAACCATGTCATGACATATCTGTGGGTTTTGGCCGCACATTTATTATCTTTTAGGTATAGGATGCTGTCGGAAATCACATATTTCAAATTATTTCAATATATTTCATGGAAGTTCAGTGTCCATTAAGCTGAGGAAACCTTTAATTGGCTTGGCTCTCACTGTGCTTCAACCTTCTTCTGTGGCAAACCAGATCGAATGGTGAACATGTAGTTTGTTGTGTTTTCCAACATGCATGCGTCAAAAGTGAGTGGTTCTAAAAGTATGATGGTGTGCCACCCTCGAAATCAGGAAACAAATCAATTGACCACCAAATGTTCAACATTTTTTGTCCAATTGTTTATCCTAATATTTGGGTGCTATATTAATGACCACATAGAGATATCAATATTATGCAATGTAACGATTCCAACAGCGTTTTCTGCAACGCACCAATCGCAATATATCGCAATTACATTTGGGCTTAACTAGCATAGCAAAGGTTAGACTTACGCATATACTATTCACATCTATTCATATATGCAATTACTTTTTTACGTGCTGTGTCTAATGATGTTCATGATATTATAGTAATAGTATATATATATATACATATAATTACTCACCAATCGTAAATTAATGGAAACATCCATAATGTGGGTAAAACAACGATAAACCACCCATTTGGGAATGGTTTAATTTATACCACCTATAAAGTCATGGTGACAGTCGCCGTCAGGTGCGTGCCACGGGTGTTGTTTTGGAGCTCCGGAGTGGTCAGATCATCACGGTGAAGTGCAGGTGGGATCTTGATGGGATTTACTTTGGGATTAACCATGGGATTAAGATGGTTCATTAAAATGTGATTGGCGATTTAGTATGGGATTTTTACATCTTCAGATGGGATTTGCATCTTAATTCATGGGATTTACTATGGGATATAGGATTAAGATTGGTTAATACTGGTGATTAATGGTGATGAATGGTGATGAATGGTGATGAATGGTGAATTCATCAGACTTATTAATTGTACTTCCCCTCCGTTATGAAACATAGCCATGGAAGCCTTGGCCATGTTGAATAGGTAAATGGACGATTTCCATGGCGATGTTAAATTGCCAGAGGGTAACTGGTTGGTGGTTTGGAACATGTGGATTATTTGTCCATATATTGGGAATGTCATCATCCCAACTGACGAACTCATATTTTTCAGAGGGGTAGGTCAACCACCAGCCAGGTAATTAATGAAATGAATTAACTGAATCAAGTGAATAGTAAACTTACCATCCATACCTGTCCGCGGGTCCACTATACATCATTGTACTCAAAGTGGCAGACCCAATCACAAACCTAAAATTTGGGGATGATATATATGAAGCATTTCTGGTAGAATTGAGCATGGGTTTATAACTGATTGTTCCATGTTGGTTATATTTATGAATAACAACAGCTATATACTAACATGGTCAAGTCAGCCATAGCTTAATATGCCATTTAGTCATTACACTATACATCACTGTACACTCTGGGTGATTCGATCGCATCATGTCATGATTTATATGGATGTTGTTCAGGATTTTTCCATAAATGGGGGTACCCTCTGGTAATGATTCGATCGCATCATGTCATGATTTATATGGATGTTGTTCAGGATTTTTCCATAAATGGGGGTACCCTCTGGTAATGACTAACATAGCTATTGAAAATGGCCATTTATAGTGAGTTTTCCCATAAAAAATGGTGATTTTCCATAGTTATGTTAGTTTACCAGAGGGTATCCCAAAATGAATGATTTATAATTTAGAATGGACAATCCTATTAAAATTGCTGATTTGAGGGTACCCCCCAATTTTAGGAAACCTCGATATACAGAAGTTGTAGAAGTGGCGTGTGACCTGATCTTCAAGTCCAATTTCAGCTACAGTAAAAGAAGTGGCTTGAGCAATTGTGCTCGAATTACGACCAAGGATGGGGATGTAGTGCGTGTAATTAGACATATAGATAACTACATTTAATATATATATATATGGATGGATGGATGGATGGATGGATGGACCAACCAATAGCAGAAATTTGTGATTCAGACATCTATAGATGTAGAATAGGTACAACCATGAAGATCAAATGCAGCTGTGATTCCAATGTTTTTGCCCTCTGTGGCTTCGTCCAAGGCTTGTCCAGATATTCCCCTAATCCATTGGCGTACGTTCATCGTCCAAGTTTGTTGTTTTGGAATATTGAAAACCTGGTTTCCCGCGTCTATCCTAACATACCCTAACATCTTCTGAATAGGGCTTTATCCCGTTTTATCATGGTTTATGGCTACCCCGACAAAACATCCTAATGGATGTTTAGCCAAAAGTTTTGGGAAACACAACGGTTTCCTGCAGATGTTCCTGAAAAAAAAATCCATTGTTTCAGCATTTGTTATATTGTGTTATATATATATATTATGTGTATATGTGTGATAACTTTGTTAACTATTAGTATATGAATTCATATTACTAATAGTATTTTCCACTATCATTTTATTCTTTTTTTTAATAGTGGCAACATCATGCTGGTACATATTGCTAGTAGTCATTGATGTGGGTATGGGTCAATACCTATTAATACAATTTTTAGGGGAATGAACATCCATTTACCAGCTATTTTGATGTTCACCAGGGGTACAAGGTTTTGACGCACTGCCATGTCTGTGCAGATTTTTTCGGATCCGATTTGTCGGAGGCATGAGGTGATCTTGTCCGCCGGTGCCGTCTTGACGCCTCAGCTGCTGATGTCTCTGGGCGATGGAATCATCCATGGTGAACCTATGGATCTTTGCCCAAAAAACAAGAAAAAGTTCCACAAGATTTATTGGTTGTGGATGTATATACCATAATGATATATACATATATAATACATATATATATAGATATGATTTGATTCTTTAAAGCAATCCCATGTTGAGGTATCCAATCATATGATTTTTGGGCCATACTTCTGCGACACTGGCGATTTTTTAGGTTGAGCGGCATTGGAGAAAAGGAACACCTCAAGGACCTGCAATCATGGTCCTGCGGTATCTGGGTGTCTGAAGATGCTGCGGTACCCCGTGAATCATGGGAACATCAACAGATTGTGACAGTTATAAGAAACAGTTTCCCGTCCTGTCAATTGATGTCCATTGTCTGCATTTGTTTTCCAAAAAACGTTGGGGAGGTCAATTGAAGCCATCCATTCGACAACATTCTGAAGGGGTATGACTACCTCATGGCCCAGCAAAGGCAAATGATTTGTAAGACACTGACCAGAAAACCAGGCCTGAATTTAGGGTGGTGCATCATGTTGCTTTCCCTGGAAATTGGCGTCAGCCGAACATGAAGGATATCCCAACCCTTAGATTTCACAGACTCAAAACAGGTCAACTGGTGTGACCGGGGATTTCTGGAACATAAGACCAAGGTCTTTTGAACAAGACATGTGAGGAATTCTCCGGCCATGACAAGTGTGTCTCGTTGACAATTAAATCCATGTTTTTCGACAAGTCCAGGTAATGGCAACAAATGTCCACATTTTTCTTGGTCAAAACCCTAGCAACCTTCTACAAAAAAAACAAAATAGCTGAGATTCATGCCCCACGGTGTAATAGGATTTCATCAATATTCCCTACCTGATTGTCGGTTACCAATCAATCGCAGTAATCGAAGATCCAGCATTTAGTTCGATGAATTTCCCATTAAAAGGGATTTCCCCATTAAAACCTCCATTGATAATTGATTTTTCCCATTAAACCACGCTAAACGCCTCCATTTTGTCTTGGGGCTTTCCCAGCTGGCCATGACCGCTTCAGGAGCATGGCATCCCATGCCTTCGCGACTTGCCGGTTGGGCAAAACATGCAGGCGCCAGGGTTTTTTCTCCACGGGTATAACTATAACCATGGTAAGCACCATATTTTTGTTGGGATACAACCATGGAATACCATGGATATAAGCCCACTTATATGGTCCGGCATCAAATAACCATGGTTATATCCCATAAAAAAATGGTAAAACAGGGAAACTAGGACAGGACAGGCTGGAGGTTAGGTGGGAGGCTGTTATGTTTTTGTTCAATCTTGTAATCTGAAATGTTTGACTGTTTCTTTTTGATTATCCTGCCAAATGTTTTGTTGAGGTTGCTGTACTAATGCTTGGGTGCTATGATTTTATGTTGGTGTTCATGTTCGTTGGTTTTGATGTTTTTTTCCTGTGGGGGTTCTGGGGATTAGTTCACTTCATTGTTTGGATTGAATGAAGGGGATAATTGTTGAGGTGGTCAGAGTTTCTATGTGTAGGTTCAGGTTCAAACTCTACCAAGCTGTTGTTCAAAGACATGTCGAATGATTTGCTTCAAATTCATGTATTGATTGAGGTTAGGCGCTGTGGTTCCTGTTTGGTTTTGCATATCAAGCATCCTTCAATACCAAAGCCAGTTTGGCACAAATTGACTGAGCCGATGTATTGTCCCTTTCCTTCGACATTCCGCAGATGCATCTTTGTGAGGCAGGTTGAGCTTGCGCCAGGCCGGTTCGTCCTTCCAAGCGGTCATGCACGAACACAGCCCGCAAGGGCTTTTCCGGCGCAGACCGTTAAAACTGGTTGGACTTTGTTGAGCACAGGGAGCGTCGTAGTGCTGGTTCTCCAAGCTCTCATTCAAAGGTTCCTTCCTGGCTTCTTCATGAACAGGGCAGTGAGGAAGGCTGGGCAAAGGCTGAAAAGGAAAGAGCCCGCCCCTGCACGGCCTCTCGAGGAGGAATACATCAAGGACTTCATCAATTCACCTCAAGGTGAAGCTTTGAGCACCCCTTCCTTCTTGGTGGTCAGTGGTTCCCAAGGCATTGGGAAATCAACCATGCTGAACAATCTCCTGAGTGAGCATGTGAAGAATGGCAAAAGGGTGCTCCCGCTCAAGATGTCAAGCCGTCCTGGTGAGGACTTGAAACTCAATGAAGCGCTGCCCAAAGCATTGCAAGCAGTAAATTTGCCGCGATACTACCCAGAACAAGTGGAGTATATGCTGGAAAAGGTGAACGAGACGTGCAAGCGCCGAACAGGCAGTGCCGTGGTGGTATACCTGCAACTCACAACCAAAAGCCGCGGAGACAAATTTAGTAGGGATGCCTGTGATGATATTGCTTCCACCCACGGTGCCTTCGCTCGCAACATCACCTACGACAATGCCGCGTGCAAGTTCATTTTGGAGGTCAGCGTGTCTGCTGTGGCCGACATCATCACCGAAAGGTTTAACATGTCAAGGCTGGTTGTGGTGCGACCACTACCTTTCGAAGACTTCACATCGTGGTCAAGGAGGTGGCAAAGCAGGGAAACGACTTCCGGACGCTGAACAAGGTTCTTGCCGAAGATGACATGGACGAGGTGTTGAAGCACTACTACATCCGCGTGGGGGGCAACTTCCGCGCCTTGGACTTGATATTGGAAAACGTCTCCAGAGAAGGTCAGAAAGGTGCGGATGCGGTCAGCGAGCGGGTTGAGCAGTGGTACAACCGGAGGGTGGAACCAATTGAAAAGAAATTGGATGACCAGGAAGTGAAGGACTATCTCCTCAAGGTGGCTGAGGCAGGACCCATGGGGTATCTCCCAAACAGCAAGCAGACGACCCACATGACTTTGAATCTTCTTCGTGAGGAGCCAGCAGACTGCGTCCTGAGGAGTACAACCAGTGAAACTGTGGCTTTGAAGCATTGGCATTTCGTCGCCAAGCTCTTTGAAGAGGATGAGCAGAAGTTGAGGGATGCAGGATACATGTGAGCTTCGCCGGTGAAAAAAAACTGTGGCGCTTGAGATGTTTTGTGGGTGAGTCATCCAAGAGTAATTTTCACGTATTGCATGCATAACCGCAGATACCCAACCCTAGTATCAATGATACCCAGATACCAGTATCCAAGTATCAATGATACCCAGAACCGAGTATCAATGATACCCCAAACCGAGTATCAATGATACCCAGATACCAATATCCAAGTATCAACGATACCCAGAACCAAGTATCAATGATACCCTGATACCATCTGATACCAGTATCCAAGTATCAACGATACCCAGAACCGAGTATCAATGATACCGTGATACCAGTATCCAAGTATCAACGATACCCAGAACCGAGTATCAATCATTCACCGAACCATCAACAACAGACAAATCGTTTCACCCTGAACTTTTTTAGCCAAACCATCAAACACGGACAAATCGTTTCACCCTCAACTTTTGACAAAAACATGAAACACGGACAAATCGTTTCACCCTCAACTTTTATAGCCAAACCATCAAGCACGGACAAATCGTTTCAGCCTGAACTTTTGAAGACAAAAAATCCTTAGTCCTAAAACCATTGTTTTAGCGTTCAAAAAACATCAATTTAGGACACTTGTTAAAAACACAATTTTTAGAGCAACAGACCCAAAAACACTTAAAGAAATGACGCCTTATAGAATCAAAAATTGACTATGCCCTGCTATATGTATATTAACGGTATGAAGCAAGAAATGGACGAAGACCTTTTTGACCAAATGGCGGAAGCACTACACCAATCCAGCAACCCTCAAAATCCACCAACCACAACATCCACAAGATGGAAACCCGACGGAACTTACGACAAGAAACCATTAGACCCCAATTATTTTTCAAAGTATTTTCAAAAGAAATTATCAAACCCTTTCACCTGTCCAGACTGCGGACGAACCATCACAAGCAAATCCAATCTATCAAAACACCGTCAAACCAACAGATGTATGAACAGCAGACGACACTAAAAATAAAACCTTCTCATTAACAACGCTTTGTTAATCAGAATTTTTTATCTATTCATTGTCCATTCCCGTTTGTTTGACACAGTTGTTCTTTTGATGCCATAGAGCATAGTATTCAAAAATTTAACGCTTACAAAACGGACATTCAACCTTCAAAAGACGTTGTTCTACTATTTTCTCTTCATTCAAACGGCGTTTTTCTATTATTTCCTCTTTATGTTTGTGATAGTATGCTCTGGCACGTGCCTTGCCTCTTTCATAGTATTCTCTCGCTTGCTCTGGATTGTCCAGTTTCCACTCCTGTTGCGTCCTACCTGCAATCTGTCTATTGACACATTCTGTTGCTTTGATATGTCCCCCTTCTCTTTTGAACAATTCTTCCTTACTTTGACACGGGTAGTTCTCAATCAGTTCAATCGTACAATTCTCAATACCGAATTCATTGAATATATCTATTGCGGTTGTCTTCTTTTTCATCCTCCCTTTGATGCATTCCTTATATTGTTTTCTATGTTTTTCCATTATTTTACCCAAACTTTCACAGGTGCTCCCAATATAGCATTTATTATATCCAACATCTGTAATTTTGTAAATCTTTCCGTTTTCATACCTATTCATACCTATATTTTTCATAAGTTGCCATTTCTTTAAAACAATTTATCAAGTCAAACGACGGTGTCCTCACGTTGGACTTCAACCCAGAACCCAATGACCTAAAAACTGAACGAGAGCCCAAAAACTACTTAAAGAAATGATGTTTTATATATTAAGGAGAATATGGGAGAGGGTGTAAGGTTAAAAAATGAAAATTTATCGCAAAACTTAATCCACCAACAATCCAATCATCCGCAACATCCTCAACAAACAATTCACACTGAAAAACTACTTAAAGAAACAGAAGATTATAATAATATAGACTATACTATAATGGACGCTTCACAGCAGATTGTTTTAAATTTTCTTTTATCATCCGAAAAGGGTGTGATATTGAAACGGAATGGAGAAGAACTCAAGAAACTCAAGATTGGAGACAAGACCTACAACTTTGAAAGGGGGAAACCCATTTCAAAAAGGTTGATTACCAAATTCAACAAGATTAGGCAGACAATGGACTACAAAAAGTATGAACTGAAAGAGAAGAGAGTCATTAGATGGGTCAATCTGGACAAGAACAAAGCACTCACAGGCATTCAAATGAGATACAAAGCAACCACCACCAACGAACAATCTGCTTTCAAAGGTTATGTCAATTCGTATGCCATCACTAACATCAGGGTTAGAGGCATAAAGGCACTACAGTATCTCAAATACCAAGATTTGAGGTTGAAAAGAGTATTTGAGGAAACATAATGGAATGAAGGTTATGCTACAGGTCTTCGCCACTTTGAAGAGCAAAAAGACTAATGAAGATGTAAGACAAGTCATCAAGAGTAGAAGATACAACATCACCAACGAGGGTGAAATACCCAATGTTCTTAATCAGATGGCAAGTGATGTAGAGCATCAAGCGGAGGTGATGGAAGTGTCGGAGAGTGGATTAGTCATAACCCAGATTGATAAACTGAAGTTCAACTATGACAAATGCAATCCAACTCGTGGGGGTAAGTTCATTCCATTACCTAAATGGGTTTCAAACAAAAAAACCTGTATCAACATCAAAAATCAAGATGCAAAGTGTTTCAAGTATTCCGTTTCATATGGTATATGTAAGGTTTATGAAAAAGACCAACCCGAAAGGGTGTCTCACTACAAAAACCTCAATGATGAACTGAACTGGGATAATGTGAATTTTCCTTCGTCAGATGTTGATATAGATACATTTGAAGAAAACAACGGAGGAAAAATAGCAGTCAATGTTTATTTTCTTGACCCCGAAGAAGGGAAACAGTCCATCCTACTTTACAGACAGTCTAAAGTATCAAAAGCAACTCATCAAGTCAGTCTTCTAAAACTGGAGGATGGGGATGACTACCATTATGTCTTCATCAAAGATTATGATAAAATAATAGGAAGTCAAACCAACAAAATGAAAGCAAAGAAACATCACTGTTTTCATATAACCATGGAAAGCTCCACCATAGAAATAGTGAATTGTCCCAACATGGTGGATCTTTCCAGTTCGTTATGTGGCTATATGTGGCTGTTTTTCCCATTAAAAATGGTGATTTTCCATAGCAAACTGTTAGTTTACCAGAGGGTAACCACTTTGGTTCTACCCATTGCAGTGATGCCGCCAGGACCATCCCTTTGTGCCCTCGGCCTTGCTGGGCCACGCACGGACTGCCGAGGCCACAGGTGCACAGTACCGAAACAGTGTCCTGGCTGGAAAAAGACGTTGGGAGCCATGGGATTCTCATGGGAAATGGTGATTTTTATGAGATGTTCATGGGATTTAGTGGTGATTTATATAGGATTTACTGGCATTTCATGGTGATTTCATGGTGGTTTAGTGGGACTTCTTGCTGGATAGATCTTGGTTCGGCTGGAGTTCGTTTTTCAAACAGTTTATACCAGGCCAGGCCCTCATACTGCAAATAATGCGACAGTTTGGCAGTGCCTAAAGAACCCAAAGAGGTTCGACCTAAGCTATCAGTGCTCCTCGGACATCTGTCCCAAAACCCATCGGCACAACGGGATGATATATGTAAAATGGGCAATGCTCTTTACGACCCATCCAAACGACTGAGATATTTAGACCCTCTCTGAGCGACAGCTCGCTGGGAACAAAAATGCCTCAGTTTCCAAGTTGTTCAGGAAAAAAAACAGCTGGATGTAGAAGAGACAGCTGGATAAGTCACCGACCCATGAATCTGGGATAATTGGAATATGATATGGAATTATGGGATCATTTAACCCAATTCATTAATGGAATATTATGGGATTATTTATGTAAGATAATTCACTAACCATTCACTAACCCAGAGTTTCCCTTTAAGCCTTGGAGCCTGAGGCAGTGGCATGAATGCCCACCTCTTTTGGCAGTTACTCGCGAAGGAGATGAGAAAAAACAACGACAGGGGTACCTGGTAAACATTTACACAACTATGGGAAATCACCATTTTCAATGGGTAAATAAAGTATTTCAATGGCAATTTTCAATAGCTATGTTAGTTTACTAAAGGGTAGATGTTTTTCTTTACTGATACTCTCTGGTAATTTAACTTAGCTATTGAAATGACCAATTATAGTGGATTTTCCCATTAAAAATGGTGGATCTTTCATTCCATAGCTATGTTAAATTACCAGAGGGTACAAGGAACATCAAGTCATCAAGTAACTAGTTCTCGGCAACGCTGGTTGAACCGCCACGACCTCATTATGACGTCTGATTGATAGACCAATTCGGGACTCTGTGGATGGTTGGAAAACGGTTAAAATGCGCAGCCAATTGCAACGTGAGCTTCAATAAGGGTTTAATTCTCCCACCACGGTTAAACTTCTACATTCATTGAAGATCTTCAATAAGGATTTAATTCTAATGATGATGATGATGATGATGGTGATGATGGTGATGAGGCTAGACCCGGCTGGATAAACAGAAACTGCTATATGATGCTATATATGTACATAATTTGATATCAAAAACGACACGGAATTGGCCCATAGCAATCATGATGTGACTGTTGATTTTGTTCAGGTCAGATATGGTCAGATGAAAGTGTGCTGATTCTGGTCATCATGTCCGCACTGAGTAGCCAGTAGTCTTGCCGGTGTTACCCTCTGGTTATTTAACATAGCCATGGTATAGATGGCCCATGGAAATAGATGGTTTACCGAACTTAAAAATGGTGGATCTTTCCATGGCAAACTGTTAAATAACCAGATGGTAATTTCCCAATCAACACATATTTCCGTCATTGCTTTTCCATGTTCCCTCTTTTTTCAAGGATATCCATGGGTTGGATCATAGTTGTACCTGCTGTTGACTGCACCCCCCATTTACATATATTTACATAGTTATTTCATGTCATTTCGGCACATATCATCACTTCAAGCGTATTAAGCTTGGTGATTCCATTTACCAACCCAGCAGTATTGGTTGTCGGTTGGCTTTCGATGTCACTGTCGCTGTCCCTTGATGTTGATATCATTTGCCATGAGAAATTGAATTATGATGACGCTAAAATGAACCTCGCAATAAAGAATATCTACCAATAGGTATCCATTATTGAGTATAACCAACTATATGGATATTAACCTGTACCTTTGGCCCGTTTCGGGCTCCAGCTATCTAGGTCCGATCTGGACAAAAAGCGGGAAAAGAAACTGAAACGATCCTTGGGCGCCGACATTCAGATCATCTTCGTGCTCCTTGGCAGGCGGCGGGATGATCCAATACCAAACCGACCTTGGCGGGTCCCTTGGGTTTCTGGCACTGTGGGTTTGTGTGAAAATGGGGAAGACCATGGGAAGACCCACAAAATCAGTCAGACAGAGAAATAGATGAACATATGGAAAATGATGGAACATGAGGTTCTAATCTATTGGAATTGGGGATGCCTTATTTTCAGACACACCCATGTATCATGATGTAGCTGGGAAAGGATCGCTTTAGGTCTAAATCGGTATAAATTATAAGTGGCACCCCTCAGTGGTACGCTTTTAAACTTGTTCATAACGGGCCATAGTTATAACATGTCATAACTTATAGATGGGATAATTCACGACACCTGGCTGAACCAGGTGGGCCCCAACACCTAGGGGCCCTAGGGGTCACTAAGCAGGGTGACCAACTGGGATGATCTGAGGAATCGGCCAGATCCCAGCATGGGTTGCTGAGTCGCAGATGGACCTGGGATGTGGCGAACCTTTGATGGTCCTTGGGGTCCCTAAAAAAACACCCCACATACTGTAGTACCCTCTGGTAATGACTAACATAGCCATTGAAAATGACCATTTATGGTGAATTTACCCATTAAAATGGTGATTTTCCATAGTTATGTTAGTTTACCAGAGGGTATATACTATTTAATATAGCTCTAGAGTGGTACATGGGGGTGCGGAATCAATTAGTGGTGGTCAACAATTGGGTATTATGGTATTGAAGTTTGATATTATGGAATATTAGCTAGTGTTTTTTAATGTTATTAAGCATGTCAGAACTGCCAGGAACGTTCCAGTAAATCAAGACTCCCTAGATTATCTAGATTCTCTTATTGATTGACAGCATCTCTATTGATTGAAGTTGTTTCCAACTGCTTGTATTTGATTCAGCCGGAACCACCATTTTTGTGTGTGTGCCGCATCTCCAAGTGTCTGGAATAGCAGCTATCCATATCTGGCTTAAAAGCCCAATTAATTTGGCGATGGACATCCATTTAGCAATCTTAGGTTAGGATGGTTTGGGTAGGCTTTAGACCCATTGCCATTGTTTGTTCGGTAGCTGCTGAAGGTGATTCCCGATGACTTACACAAATTCGCCCCATGTAGGTCTGTCATTAGGTAAACGTACATGGATCGTATGTCTTGCAGAGGAAATCATGATCATCCCAATTTCGCGCTGGAAGTCCCGTCTCTTGTTGCCGATTTTCTGGTGATGAATCTGAGAAAGGGCTACTAGTAGTAGAAGTTAAACACCCATGTTCAACGATGTTCAGATGTTTCGATGCCCCATGTGACATGTTCGGTCATTCGTGAACTCGCAAGTGCTGTTGTTTTCCTCCCAATGTTTCCGAATGCTGCAAGCTCCATGTTTTCCCAATGTTTCTAGCGAAAGTGGCAGGTTTTTCCATCCAAATCCTTTGTGAGCGAAGATGGGCTAACTTCCATGGCATCATGGCCATGTTGGGATGACCCATGTATTCCCCGCTGGTTATATCCTCAATTTTTTTAGGACGAACACCTTTACATCCAAAACTCTTCATGAGTGAACTCCATTTCAAATGTAAAATCAGTATTTTTCCAGATTCTACTCCCATTTTTTTACCATGGATTACCCCTGAAATCCATTTTTTTGGTTCTCAAACTTTGCCCGGGCACGTCCCGTTGCCTGGTTCCCAACTGTTAGCAGATCTCCAAGGTCTGAAAACCGGGCTCTTTCTGGCGGGGCAGAAACTCTTCGGATCTCTTAGCCCCGACTATCGCAGTGTACCTTGGCGGGTTTTGGATACACCAATTTTTATGCCATTTTTGTGATCCAAAATCACATCCTAAATGGGTGGCATGGTATTTTTTCACAGTAATTATGTATATCCGAAAAATAATCAAGGGGGATATCATTGGATATCAATAGGAAAATCGTCGAAAACGGTGGATTTGCCGGGATGCAGCATGGCAATGAACTTGCGTGGAACATTCAGAGATCAGATTGGGACATATGCGATGATATAATTGAATATAATTGATATAATCAATAAAGAGCTAAGATGGTGTGATATGTTGAGTAACTTATTGTCTCAAGAATCTTTAAAGGAGTGGTGGTTCAGGAGCTAGTTTTGGGGATATCAGTTTATTTCCCAATTTGGGGGTTGCGATTTGCATTATTAATATGTAAGATTCTTTCCGCAGAATGCAAGAATCAGTGCTTCTTATGGAGCGTCAAAACATGTCAAAACCATCACCACAACAACCAATACTGCTACTGCTACAACTGCGCAGCACCGTAGAACTTGTGTAGAAGCACCGATCAACAGTTGATTTTGGTTATGTGACGAATGCCAGAACCAGGGTGCAAGAGTTTGGATCAGAACTGACAAATGTTCCTTTCAAGCGTGGAGGTTGCTTTGTCCGCTTTGTCAAGAGAAATCTGGCCTTTTGAATCAACTCAATGTTGCAAGACTATATATATAATATATATATATATATATGATTATATATGTAGTATAAAGATGTATGTATATATGTATGTATGAAATATGCAAACAGACCTACATCAAACTTACAGGACTACAAGCTGGCGGCGAGTGCGGTGGCCTCTCTGATGAGATCTCTGCTGAAGCTTCAGCAGCTCGGTTTCGCCAGCGGCGAACTGTGTATGATGGGTTGGTTTGACGGAACAGAAAGCAGGAAGCCCTGATATTTCATGGGAAAAAATGCCATGGTTTACTGTAGATGTTCCCCAAAAAAACAATCCATTGATGCATTTTTTAGGGGTCTTCATTGGACGTAGAGATGGAGGGTTTTCATTGGGAACATCATCAAACTAAATGGTGGAAACGGAAACATGAGAGCCTTTTCTGTATCATACCTCAAGTTGTGGCCATTTTTACGGTGAAAATGATGGGTTCCATGACGATAAGCTTAATCAAACATTGGGGTACCCTATTTGACAATACCCTGATTGGTGATAGCTACCCAGAGTTTGTGCTACCCACTTACCATGATTTGGTGCCAATGATGATACCAACTTTTTTCACGCGGAGGCTCGCCCGGCCTTCGAACACTAAAGCTACCGTCATGGTGTTTAACAGCGCTGCTGTTGCCTACGGGATCCGAGGAACAACATGGTGATGGTTTATAATGGTTTATACAAATGGTATAAGATGGATAACAACATGCATACAGCATAGATAATCCATGGTGTTGTTTTAAATCCATAGTATAGTACATGTTAAAACAACATGGTATAATATTTTTAAATCCATAGTTTGCAGCTTCCAAACTGCAGTCCAGGTGGGCTGCCTTAATGAATCAACATGTGTGCAAGTCCCAACAACGTACTTGGATGTGCATCCCATTTGGGAAGTGGTTTACAATCCATGTAAAACCCATTTTTCATCCCATATACAATAGGGAATATTCCATATATATATATATATACACATACACATGTATATATACACCTAACATGGCCATTCAAGAAGCATGGATCATGCCGTTGTTCTCCCGGCCAAGTCAGGTCTGTGCGTGAAGCCTTTACGGCAAGGCGCCGGGTTGGGACCCTTGGGTTGGAAGCCACAGTTCCTGACATGACATGGGTTTGTCTCCAAAATATGCTAGCCCTGAAAGTTCCACTGGTTTGGAACATCATAGTTTGGGGTATGTGTTCTCTATTTGCTATGGGGGTTTCGTAAAATGGGGGATCGCCAAGTCGCCACGGGTTTCAATACTAAAATTGTCTCATGACTTGGACGATTTGGGAGTACCCCCATTCTGGGAAACCTCCGTATATATATATATATATACATATATATATATGTATACTTATATTGAAGATGTAAATCCTATGTTTGGGTTGAGAGTGGGTCCGGGTATTTTTTATATAGACATGTTTGAGGTACATCCTCCATTTCAGACCAAACCCTTACACGAGGTCCCTTCAAATCCACTATCCCTCCAACGGAAACTCCTGTGCGGGTTTGACCCGCCAGGCGACAGCGTCTTCTCTTAGAAGAATATGTATGTCTATATAATAGAATATAATATAATATAACATAACATAACATTATATAATATACTATAATCTAATATAATATAATATACTTTAATATAATGTAATGTAATGTAATGTAATTATGTAATGTAATGTAGTATAATATATGATATAATATAATATACTATACTAAAGCAACACTTGATATAATATAATATAATATAATATAATGTAATGTAATGTAATATATAATATAATATAATAATGTATATGTTGTCAAATCAACCCAGGTTCTCATGGTTCTCAGTTGTGTCATGTTTGTTTCCTCTAAAAAGGGTTTGTTTATATCTCAGTATCAAAGTCCCCTTTTGTTTGGTCGACTTTCGATGTTCAATTGGGGAAACCCTCCGGGATATCCAAATCGATGGATTTTCCTGTGCAATTTCCATGAAAAGGGTTGGTCCGATAAAGTCGGCTTCCGAACATATGATGCTTCAAAACATGTCAAACATGGACATAACTGAGCCGTATACCGGTGATTCCCATGTATAGCCCCACTTACAGCCAAGCAATTCCGCGGCAGATTCTTCTCGCTGACCATTGTCAATAACCACAACCAGAGTCGTGGAACGGTTCGCCTCAGGTGGCTCGGTCCGCGGCGGGATGTAACGGCAGGATGTAACGTAGTGGATGTGTCATGCTAAAAACTTGTTAGTTGGTTAACTATAGTTAGTTCAATGGATCAGACATCGGGAAACTAATTGGGAAACTAATTGCTGGGCTACAAATCGTTGAACAAGTTGTTTGCAGTTTGCAGGTGATCTTTAAGGTTTTTACCATGAGGGGTTGTCCCATCGGTGGCCATAGCAGAAGCTAACTCCGGGATCCCCTGGACATGGTTCCTCGGTTGCGGTGCTACACACACACACACACACCAGGCATTGGAACGTCCTCATATATGATTTATGCATATTTATAATCTTATCAAATTCTAGAGTCTAAATATATACAGTATATATATAAGTGTATACATAATATATATATATACAATAAATGCTCTATATATATATACAGTAAATGATCTACATAATATATATATAGGCTCAAGGCTGGGGGTTCCCCGGGCTTCCAGGAACCCTCAGTCTTGAGCCTATACTATAAACGTCGTTATGGTATAGAGACGGGGGGTGGGGGGGTGGGGGGTGGGGGATTGTAATAACCTCATGTGGAATGCGTTGGATTGAGAGTTGTGGAAACCTTGCGGATGTTGTTTCGTTGAGGATGTTGTTACGTTGCAAGTATCGTTGTTGTTTACAGAAGGGGGGGTGGGGGGGTGGGGGTGAAGAGGGGCCCTAGCGTCTACTTCAAGATCAGCTAAGGCGTCTTCCCCAATGACAGCACTCTTTTACTCTCAGCCTGTTGCCGGTCAGTGCTTGTCTACAGGGTTACTCTATATACCTCTTGAGCCTTGAAGGGCGCATATAAATGTGCTCAATACTCATGCATGTACCTATGTAGGTATTAGGTCGAAACAAAAACACAGGCACAAATTCAAAAGCAATGAGTAGAGCACTACGCCTTGCCGTACCCAATTGGTATTAAGAGTATCTTCCTGACTTCTCTACACAATGGCAAATAGCAAAAGAAACCGGAGTTACGCAGTGGCTTCGAATTGAAAAACACGTGAAAGCAGCGAATGTCCTAAGGACATGTCGAAAAAGAACAGCGGATTCGCTAATTTTTCCAGTAGTGACCAATGGTGCTTCGCGCACGGTCTCTCCACAGGCAAAATGCCTCGCTCTACCGGTGAAAGTTCGAATTGAAAAGTTCGGGTTCGCAAGATTCAGAAATTCAGGTCATACGAAAAACAATTGACCAAATCACGAAATAAACGGAAATAGCGGATCTCCAAAGTTGCTCATTCAAGCAAACAATGGACTGAAATCGAAGTTGGTAAATTTTTGAAGTTCGCTCCATTCGGAGTGGTCTGCTCGCCGGATGATTCATGGAGATAAATGTATATAGTATCTCTATTTACAAGAGTCTCTATTTTACATTAAATTGAAGTTCAGACACTTGTGGCATTATCTCTATCTAAAAGAGTATATGCCATCTGTGTGAAATAAGTTGAACGCACAGAAAAACTGTACACGGCTTCTCATGCTGTGTTATCTTCAATTAAAGAAGTGTACACTCACTCATCGCCACTCACTTGATCTCCATGGTCTGGACGCTGAAGATGAGGATCCACCCCACTCTGTGTTGCCCTGATACGTCGATGCTTGATCTTCATATGCCTTTCTCTTTTTCTCCTTCTGTCTTTCCTTTCTTGAATCAGCATACTGCTTCTTCTTGTAGGCCTGTTTGTAATGATGTCGTTCATTCCATGACATATCAGAAGGATCAAGATGGATAAGAATTGGATTATGAGCATCGCGATCATTTGGAGCAACCATGAAGATGTTGTGATCACCATGTAAGCAAGTTTCATTTACCTTGAAGTAAAATTCACCCACATAGTTCATGTGATCTTCATCCTCAAAGTCTTCTGGGTGTTCCTCACACATCAAACGTGAATGACCCCACTCAACAACTGTTAACATACAACAATCACCTTTACCAGTTGTCTTCTTCATGATCTCGTCGGTGTATGTTGCTGTTGTAATGCCATCCAAGTGCGTTGCAAGAAAATCCAAGTCACGATAACTGCAAGAAATGAAATGCTTGACCCTGATTGGAGGGCAAGTTGGATCAAAATTCTTGCGCATGGCTTGTGTTGCAACACCTACCATTCTGTTAATCCAGAATTGGATAAGGCTGTGTTGATATGTAGGGACACCTGGAGATTTTGGTGTGCTGTAATAGCATGCCTTGTTTCCATCACCTGCGATGAAGTCAACTTGATATCTGGCACACTCAAAAGCCATAACAGCTAAGCACTCACCAACAATCCCAGCAGAGTCTGATGCATACTTCTGTCCGACGTGATAAACGCACACACGTGTCATTCTCATCCTAGCTCTTGTCAAGTCAACAATCTCATCTGTATCTCGATCCTTTGTCTTTCCCCAAGATACTTCAAAGATTGCCCATGAGACTTGTCGAACTCGTGTGTCGTTGTCATCTGTGTGATATCCAGCAATTTGCTTGATATAGCCATCCTTTCCAAGGCGAGCTGCCACCATCAAGTCATGATAGTCATTGAAGCAAGTTTTAAAGTCAACCTCGTCGAGTCTTTCTCTGTGAGGATACAACGAACCAGCCTCGCAATTCATGAAAAGATGTCCTCCAAAGTTCTTGATGACATTGATGAAGTAATTGTTGAACTGTGATTTGGTTTCATCAAATTTTTCATGATCCTCATCGATAGTGTAGTCAATGTGTGGAATGAATTGTTGAAATCTTTCTGGAACCGGGCATTTTTCAAATCTGTTTCTGCACCAGTTTCCCAAATTCCAAAACATTGCTGTTATCTGTGGAGAGGATCTGTATGGAAATTCAGCATCCTTGTACGTTGGGTCTGATAGGCCTCCACCTAAATACCTGTAAGCCAAGCTATGCAAGATCATACAGTAAGGCAAGACCTTGTGTTCCTCAACGTAATCTTGGAGTACCCTTGTGAGATTTCCAAAATCGTCATCAATCCTCTGTTCTGCTTCTTTTGAGGATCTTTCTGCTTTGTCTTGATGAAGAGGATGCATCCTTGGATCACTACAACCATATTCAATGCGCTGATTAAGTTCTTGTAATTCTAGTTGTGGATCCTGATTCTTGTGTCTGGCAATGTACTCAACCATCAACTGGTCATCTGTAAGATGGTACCAAAAATCATGATGTGGAGACATGGTCTTCCTGTACTTAACATGCCAAAACATATGTCGATGCTTCGAAGACGCTGGATAACCTTTGTTGTAAAATCCTGCCCATTCACCATGGTAACCATCTGAAAAACAATCCTTCAATCTTCGAAAAACTGAATCATCTTCGTTTCCAGTGATATCTTGACCATAGTAAAGTCGAACTGCAGGTTTCACTTCAGGAGCTGTCTCATCATCTTGAATGTCTGTCTTCTTCTCCCCTGATTCCTCCTTTTCTGAGGAGCGTTCAGGTGGAGCTGATTCCTCTTTCTCTGAAGAGCCTTCAGCTGGGACATGTGGCTCCTGTGTGTCTTTTTCTTCTTCTTTTTCTTCGTCAGCAATCTTCTCTTCTTCATCCTTTTCTTTCTCTTGTCCTTCTTCTGGTTTGACAAAACTTTCCTTGATCTTTCGTTGAACATTCTGATTGCACATACTGATCCATTTCAATGTACACTCAACCAATTTGTCATCATCAATTTCCAAAATGATATGTTTGTCCTCAATGTTCAAACTTTCAATGGTATGCTTGTACTCAGGATCACCTGCGCCTGGTCTTTGAAGATCTGGAAGTGGAGTGTCTGGATCATCGTCCACCATATGAGGATCCTCTGCTCCAAAGAAATTTTCTGCGCCAAGGTGTTCATTGTCCTTGAGAACTTGGTCAATATCCAGTTTGAATTCATAGTACTTGTCGTAAGAGATCTCATAACCCATCATAGGTGCATACTGCTCCATAAATGTTGAAAAGGAAGCATCTGATAATGCTGACATCATCAACCATAATAAGAAGAAGCTTATGTCACCACGTTCAAGGGGTTGACCTCCTTCAAGATCATCTCCTGTGAGGACTGATTGGCCTGCGAGTGTAATATCATGGAGGATCTGTCTGTGCTCTGGTTTGAGTTGCCTGACTAAGAACAGTCCCTGTCGATCTTCCATATTTCTTCGAGGATTTGCATCAGGTAATACCTCACTTTCTTGTTGTGGTTGTGTTTCCTCTCTTTCTTGAGAGCATACACCTTCTTCCTCTCTTTCCTGAGAGCCTGATGCCTTTTCCTCCTCTTTCCTGACAAAAACTTGTAGTCTTGGCAAAAACTCCAAATCATCTTCAGCATCATCATCATCGTGACCTTCCATGTCCACATTCTGTTGCTCTGATCCTGGGATGTGAGCGATCTTGTCCTTTCCAGCTACCCAGATGTAGCCATCGAGCTTTGTAGATGTGTGGAAGTCACCTGAACCGCATTCCCTGACCTTTGTCCTTGCTCTTGCAGATTGATGGAATGCTTCATGCTGAAAGAATTGATTGTAGGCATGTTCAACAAAGAATCTGTAGGATTGAGCTGTCAATTCCTTTCTGCTATCCACAAATTGTCGAAGCTTGTTCAAAGCAAAAACTGTGAAATGGCTGAAGCTAGCAGGTGCTTCATCTTCATACAGATCGATTGCCATGATCATCATCTTTGTGGAAAACGAGAAATGCCGTTCAGGTTCTGGGATGACTGTTCTCTTGTTCATGGGAACTGTAATTCCTTGAATAGTCATGTCATACCCATGTGTGTTCAACTCCAGTGCATCCAAAATGTTACCATCACGGTCCTTCTTTCTCCTGCAGAAATCTCCCCAGAGTTTGTTGTTCTCTCTAATGAACTGATCAAGATGCTTAGTGTAAAATACAAAGACTGCTTCTGAGAGATACTCCATGTCCTTCTGTATTGCTAAGTCTCTTTCGTATAGCAAGAACTTCTCTCTCCATTCGTCTCTGTTGATACACTGTCTGTCTTCC